AGAGAAGAAAACTTTAATAACTTGTATTGATTTTTATTGCCAATTATTATTACTCTTATTACTAATTTTACTATTATTATTATTTTCACTATTTATATTATTATTATTAATATTATTATCATTATTATTATTATTATTATTATTATTATTATTATTATTATTATTATTATCATCATTATTATTATTTTTTTTATTACTATTATTATTAACATCATTATTATTATTTTTTTTTATTACTATTATTATTATTTTTATTACTATTATTATTATTATTATTATTATTATTATTATTATTATTATTATTATTATTATTATTATTATTATTATTATTATTATTATTATTATTATTATTATTACTTTTATTATTTTTATTACTATTATTATTATTATTACTATCTATTTTTGTTTTAGTCTTATTATTATTATTAGTATTATTATAATCATTATTATTATTATTACTATTGTTATTCATGCAAAATTTAATCTTTGATCGGTTAATTCTCTGTCCGCTGACCAAACTAATTTCGAATTTCGATAAGTTAATGCAACTAAGATAAGTTAGCATTCATGTTGGCTATTTTCAGCGGTGCTCAGCAAGCTGATACAGCTGTTTTTAGCTATTTTTAAAATTAACTTCAGCTACTTTTTTTGGTAGCTGCCAACACTGGTAATGTTATTATCGCATCTATAGGATAGTCGCATACGTTTTACACATTCGCTGTTAAACCCATGATACCCTATGTAAGGGTAGCTGAAAGAGTAGTAAAAAATGTCACTGAACTCGCGCGCGACGCTTTTTCCAACATATATTTTTTTGGGTGTAGGCCAGGCTTGAGCTGGGAAGTAAACAAAGGCACGTTTGGAAAAAAACGAAAAAATCTTAGTTCGGTTTTTTTCTTTAGCTAGTTACAATTGTAAGTAGCACAACACGACGACGACGGCGACAGCGACGTCGACGGCGACGTCGACGGCGGCGGCGGCAGTTGAAGCAACTGCGCAGGCGCGCGCGTGTGCGTCATGAAATTAGTTTATTTGTTTGCATAAGTCGTTTGTGCATGTGTGTGTTGTTGTTGTTGTTGTTGTTGCTTTTGTAGCAATTTCTAATAAATTTGTTGTTGGCAGCGCCAGTGTCATGCACACCTGGAGCATAATTCGCCAGCCATGAGTCAATTTCCGTCAGCTGCGTCCAAATTATAACAGAAATTGTTCAAGTAAAATATATATATGAATAAAAATGCATATGTTAAACTAAAAGTGGCTGTGTGTGTGTGTACTGTGTGTGTGTGTGTGTGTGGTTGAGTACTCAACCGAAGAGCCGAAAGGGTGTGCAAAGGGGTTGGGCAGAGAGCGAAGCAAGCTCCACTTAAGCCACAAGAATGGGCTACGTATTGAAATAGGGAATACTGCGACGTTAGAACAATAAACACTGTACAAATCAATGCTCGATGCCACTTGAATTCAACCGGAGCGACACGGCGGAACCAGCGAGATTGGGATTGGGATTGGGATTGGGTTTGGGAATGGGTCTTGGGATTTGGGCACTTTGGTAGCTCGAGTTTTCATGGGTTTGCCCACTTGAACGTTCGATGACATTTCAGTTTTTATTTTAGTATTTCGACTCTGTGTAATTATAATAATACATAAATTTGTGTGCCGCAAGGCACGAAACGTAAAAGAACAAACTGAGTTAACTCGACCTGGAGATGCTCTGTAAAAAGTTCGAAAATCAATCCAATATGAAAACTAACACAAATTTTGATGGGCTTTGGCATATGAGAAACTGAATATAATAGTTCTCGATCTCAAAGATTCTAAGTTCTAAGAGAAGTGCTTGCATCTGGTTATATAATAACTACATAACTTAAACCTTTCCAATTAACTGGTATACATAAAAGTGGCATATAAGAAGCTGCATACTAAATTTAATAATTCCCGATCTCAAAGATCTCGAGATTAAAGACATTTGAAGAGCTCACCAATGTTCATTGCTGTCATTCAAACTCTCTTGCTTATGCATCTTAAAGTACGTGGTATACATATTAAAATGGAATCTGTAAAATCATGTCGAGTGCTACAAAGTTTAACGATTCCCAGTTACGTACTTATAATACCTAAATAAATATAAAAGATATGTATGCGTGTGTATGTGAGCGTGCGTGTGTGTGTGTGTGTGTGTGTCGTGCCCTCCAGGCACTGCTGGTCTTTCGGCTCGGTACTCGTAGCTGTACTTATATGGGACCCCATTAAAATGCGTACCATTCGCACTTCAGACGAAACAGTTAGCGAGTGTGAACTGTAACGTTGCTTTAACTTGTCTTTGACAAATATAGTTCACTGTACTAACTCGAAGAAGAGCACATGCAATAACTTTGTTAATTTGTCGTAATTACACACACACTCTCGTATGGGGTTAAGAGAGGGAGAGAGAGGGAGAGGGAAAGAGGAGGCGGGGGCGGCAGGCAGCTAGAAATACCTCCGACAGTTACTGTCTGATATATTTTTTTCGGTTTCTGTAGCTGGGGGCCCCCATCACAATGCCGTGCTTTATTTAAAGGCACAAGGTTAACACATATTGTCGCTGCGTGTAGGTTCCACACAATGTAAAGCAATGGCAATAATTATTTTTGGTTTTAATATTAACAAAACGAGAAATACGAAATAATGAAAAAAATAAATAAAACCATCTACTCGCCTATAAACCAGTTTTTAGTTGTTTAATTTCAATGCTTAATGGTCACAATTGATTGGAGTGATTATTTTTATAATTTTTTTATTATTATAAATGTTATTGTTAGCACGTTTCAGTTTGTTATTGATGTGATCTCAGCGCGGGCTGCCGAAATTTGAACTATCTCAAGATATAGGCATTTTTTTGACATATCTTTCAAGCAAAGACTTTTCTCTTTATTTCCTGGTCTAATCCAGTTCCTAGACAGCTCGCGTATTCCCGCTTCGGCTGTGTGTTGCTATGCCACGCCCCTTTTGCTGGCTGTCAAATCGACGGGCAGCTTCCTAACTCAAATTGAATAATTATCAATTGTTAATAAATATGTGCAAATAAATAAGTAATAAACGTAATCATAAACACAATTTGACGTCGTTCAATGACTAAGTTCCTTCCACAATACATACATACATACACACACACATATATGCATATATGTGTATGTGTGCGCTCGTCTATACCCATTAAATACCCATACGCATCCATTCAAACATATATAAATATATGTATATATGTACGTATACATGAGTACTCACAAATGCAAATTGTAAATCAGATACGGCATAAAAATATTGAACACATGGCGCAGCGTTAAGTGAAGTGAAGTTTGTAGCGGGTGTAGCGGGGGGCCAGGGGTGTAGGCGAGCGGAGTGCGGAGTGAGGAGAGCGGGGCAGGGGTATTGGATAAGGGGGCAGAGAGCTGAAAAATCGAAATGAAATGAAATTAAATAAAGCACAATAAAACGTACTTAAAGATTGACGATTTTTGTGCCAGCGCCGCGGCGAGCACAGTGGTTCCATACCAATTAAAACTGGAGAAATCCACAAAAAATATAAAGTAATATATACAGTTAAAAAAATGTTTATGTTTGTTAAAGATTATGTTAAGCATTAGTGTTAAGTGTCAGTCTGTTTCTAGCGTTTAACAAAAAAACAACTGTGAGACTAGAGAAAGACTATATAGACAGACATACATATATTTAATTTAATAAGTAAACTTTATAAGTCCTTCAAAAATATATGCTGTATTCTATACTCTATTTTCTATACTCTAGATTCTATATATATATATAACCACCCTTATCTATATGGGACTTTTGTCTGTGAACTCTATCCAAACTGCGGTTTTAGTTGGTCTCTGGATGTTATGTATTCACAATAATAGCTTTAGATGATGCTGCGATAGATTACTTCATTCTATCCAGATTTATTAAATTATATGATTCATTTAAATATTTTTTCCTCACTTTGAAAATTAACTAGAAAATAGATATAAGCCAACTCAGTGCTGGGCATAAGGTAATCTGCTAGTTTTATTGAGCTTTTTTCTTTGTGATTTTTTGCATTTGTTTTCTTAAAGTTTTAATCAAGGTGCATAGCGCATAAGTTTTTGGGTAGAACGGCAGAGACGACACACACACACACACAACACACACACACACACACACAAACACAATAATTAAATATATATGGATGGGCATATTGGCTATATATGTAGCCGATTATGAAGAATTTGTGTGCAACTGTGAGAGTGTATGAGTGTGTGTGTGTGTGTGTGTAAGTGTGTTCGATCTTAATATAATTGGCTGTCAGTGCGACGTTCGATCGCCCCTGAAAAATACACACACACAAAAAAAGCAGCGCACAAAATGTCGGCAGCTGTTTGTTAGCCGAGAGAGTGTGTTATTGTTGTGTGTGTGTGTGTGTGTGTGTGTGTGTGTGTGGGTGTGTGTCTTACTTTTGATAAAATTTATTTGATTCTCCTTTATATAAATGCATTTTACAGTCATTGTTATTCATAATTTCTTGGCCCATTTCAAAATGGCTCGCAAAACATTTATATTTCGTGTGAAGAATGCACGCGTGCCCCTTGCCCCTCGTATTTGCCCTGCCCCCCTTTAATGGCAAGTGCTGTCTGTTGGCTAATTGAAAATCAATTAAATTGTGGCATCACATATTGCCAGAGCATATCAGAATATCAGACAATGTCAGACGCTTGTCAGAAATCATGCACAAAACAAAAACCAGCTCGAATCCTTATATTTTTTTATTCTTTTGTTTTGTGGCAATCGGAATTTAAGTCCAGAAAGTCAGGTTCAATGTATCTTCAAGTGCGTCTTAAAGCGTTTCACAAGTCTCAAGCGGCACAAGTTTTGCATGCCCAAGTAGCTCGACATTTGGGATGGTTCAAGTTGAGATTTGAGTTTTTGGGATCGGGAATGGATATTATTAAAATGCGCATTTAATTGAACGATAAAATTTCTAATTATTTCAGGTGAACAAACAGTATACGGCCAACGATCTGGAGGCTTTTATGAAGATAGCCGCCAACTGGCAGAGCACCAACCACAATTTGTTGGAGGGTGTCGATCTGAAGACAGGTAAACTACATTAAATCTTAAACACAATTGTTGTTTAACATCATTTGTATTCGTTTGTTTTTGCACAGAAATGACGCAATACATGAACAGCCCATCGATGAACATGTATAAGAAACGCGAGCGTACACAGAACTGGAATCACCAGGAGAAGAAATACTTGCTGGATCTGTGCCGCAAGGATATGCGGATCATTGAGAATAAGCGACTAGACGCTGGCCTAACCGCCGTCAAGAACAAGGCCTGGAAGATCATACATCAAAAGTTCTCCAATCAATTTGGCACCGATCGCACCTGCAATCGCCTCAAGGAGCAATGGCGTCGCATGAAGGGTGAGCACGGCAAATATCTAACTAACTTATATTCTAAGCTAATCATTCCTTTTGTTTCATATCAGCCTGCACGCGTAACGAGATACTCGACTATAACAATCGCCTGGCCAGATTCGGCGCTGAGGTGGCCGATCGCAAGAAGCCCTCACCGTTCACCTTTGAGGTCTGGGACTTTATGCAGGAGGCGAAAAAGGCGTGCAAATCGGAGGCACTTGATGGCATTGACTACTCCAAAATACCGCTGGCACTTGAGGAGGACTTTGAATATCGCGATGACTACAAATTCAATGCTGATGAGCATGATATGGATGAGTAAGTGCCACAGCAACTACGTGAACGGGGCAAACACAACTAACTAATCTTTTTGCTTGGTCAATTGCAGCAGCCGCACACCGCCACAGGAGCTGTGCGATGTGGACATCAAGGAGGAGGAGACCAATGAAACCTTCAATGAGACCTACAATAATCACAGCAACGATATCCATGCCAATGGCGAGCGTCTGAGCGTCTCGCCCAATCACAGTCGCAATGGCCTGCACGAGCCAGAGAGTCCGGCGGCCGCAACGCTGGACGCAAGCAGCGCCTTTTTGCCGCCCACTGGTGGCGACATGTCCGGCTTTCAGCCCAGCTTCAACATGAACAACATATCCGCTACGCTGGAGGCGCTCAACGCGCTGCGCAGTGGCCAATTCCCGAGCGCAGCTGCCGCAGCGGCTGCTGCCATACAGCAGCATCAGGCGCAGGCTGTGGCCCTGCAACAACAACAGCATCAACACAGCAACAACAACAACAACAACAATAATGAGGATGATGATGAGCTGCTGAAGCCCATGGCCAAACGACAGCGCACAAGCAGCAGCAGTCTGGCCAGCGAGGAGCAACAGTCAACGCTGCCTCTTCCACTGCCACTGCCACTAACCGCAGCTGTGCCCCAATCCGCAGACAGTCAAGCCTTGGAGCGCTGCAGCAGCAGCAGCGGCGTTGTCGTCGTTGGCGGCGGCAGTAGCAGCAGCAGCGCAGCCGCCGGCGCCGCCAGCAGCAGCACAGGCAACTCCTTTGAGCTGCGCCTGTTTATGGAGATGCAGAGCAAGGAGCATATGATGCGCATGAAAATACTGGAGGTACAATTGCAGGCGGCCAAGCACAGTCGCGATCTGGTCGAGATTAACAAGACGCTGGCGCTGCAAAAGCTGCAGGAGCTGGCCAGCAAGCGGTTGCCCAGTTAGAGCAACGCATCGTTCACTGTTAACTGCTTGATTATCATCGTTTTCATCGTTGTTATAGTTGTAGCTGTAACTTTGTAGCACGTAGCACACTTAGCACGTAGGGCGTAGCTAAAGTTAAATTTTAGGATAAGCAACAAATTTTGTAACCAGAGACAGACCGGCACACACACACACGGAAACACACACAGAAGCATAACACATGCATTGAGCTGCAATTCACAACATTCCTGGCATTGTTTTGACCAGTATTTAAAAGCTAGAAGCACACACACATACACACACACATAGATAAACGGCAGCTCATAGCGCTTGCAGCTGCAGCGGCGCACAAAAGTATGCCATATTATTTTATATAGTTAAAGGACTCTCGCCCTCAATACAACAGCAGCCCATGCATACAGCCTACCTCACACACACAAACATACGCACACACACACACAGGGACACAACAGACTCCTGGGCAGAGGCAGGTGAGTTAAGGCACGTGTTTTGTGGCTCTGCACTTGACCAAGTCAAGTGATTTGTGAATACGCCCGAACGCATTCAAGTTTTTAGTTCTACTTAGTTCTAGTTCTAGTTGTAGTACCCGTAACAGCTCTCCAAGTTGCTCAAACCTAAACGCACACACACACACGCACACTCACACATACACCAACTCTACTTACCACAAATGTATTTTAAAAATGTACTTATAAAATATATACATATATATATATGTATTTATATATATGTATGTATATATTTTTGACTTGAGTTCGACTAACGAAATGCACAACAAATCTTTTTTTATCTTATTATAGAACTAAGTTAATCCACTTTGCATATAGCGCGCATATTATCTATATGATCGGAAATTCTTAATGCTGATTTATATTTATTTTGTATAGTTCGTATGTGGACATGTTTTTCGTTTTTAAATGCCATATTAATTTGCAAGTATATCCACACATTTATTGTTTCAAATGTTGTTAAGCGATCTATCCATATATATATATATTTATATATACAAACATATAACATACATTATATAAAAGAGCCTTTACTTTGAAGCAGCATTTCTTTTTCATTTTATTGGCGCCCGTTATGTAACGCTTCTTGTAAAGCATTTGTAAATGAGAAATACAAACTATTTTAAATAAAATGAAGAGATATTATAATCGTAAGACCACCAGTTAAATCAAAATTCCTAAACCAATCATTCATCTATATCACTCAAGACGACTCCTTTCTGCGCAAGCTCCAAATTCTCTTTGCATATGTCAGCAACTTTTTATTGCTTCGCAGTCTCGACTCCACATAACGCTCCTGTAGCTGAATGTAATCGCTTATAAGTGAAAGCATTTCACGCTTCTACGAATGATTGCATTTGGTGAAAGTTGACCGAACTGTAAACTGTGAACTGAACGACTTACCCGAACCAACTCTCCAATTTGTTTACTCCACATGGCTAGTTTCTGAGCAAAAACAACAGCATAAACAACACATATTCTAGGGTATATTTAAGCAATAGCACTTACCTTCGCCTCGAGATTTTTAGCTTTTTCGTTGTCTGATAACAGGCGCAGCTGTTGAGGGATCAGTAGATTCCATCTAATGAGGCACTCCATCACACACCTGGGCCTGCAGCAGCACCACATTGTTGAATATTGAATTTAGAATTTTGAATTTAGTTTTGTTCAAAATAGCATGTATTTGGAACAGATTTACGTCTGCCTACTGTTTTGTCAAATGCTGTTCTGGCCAGAATTTTGCTGAATCAATCTCCAGAAACACAATTTCAATTATCTGCTTGCTGTGTTCTCGCAACTCGTGATTCTTTCAAGTCCAGACTGGCGTTCACATTCAGACTATCTTCTTCTTTTTTTCGGTCCCTGATCATTTTGTTGCGCAGCTTTTGCAGCTGTTCCCTTTGCTGACGTGGATGTGAAAGGGTTTAGTTAGAGTAGGGGTAGCACTTCTTAAATATATTTCCAGTACGAACAATTTTCAAAAAGTGCATATTCTCTACGGCCCTGGCTCTTTCGTAAATCTCCTTGGTATAGGGCCGAGGCATGATATTCCAATATCCTTGCGGCAAAGCATCAAATATGGGCTTCAACAAGCTATTGGACTTGAGCACTTTACTAGCCGGCAGCATTTTGCTCTTATAAAAAAAAAAAAAAAAATATCACTACAAATTTAAAATAACACAGAAAGTTGTGAAATGAGGTTTTAATTTTGAAAAGAGTTTACAACGTTTAATTTTGATGGAAATCATTATTCAGAATTTCTCTTAAAGGCGCCTACTAAGGTACGTATGCTTATCAATCCTTGTCGGATGAATTTTCATCGCCTTTCTTCACATTTCTTTTCATGTCCTCCAGCTCTTTATCCAATTTCTCAATTTCCCTCCTTAATTGCCTTTGCTTTTCGAGAATACGTTGCAGCTGTTCGTGTTCCTTTAAATAGAAATTGAAAAATTAATATCAAAAGTTAGAACCGAATGCCACTCAAAGTAACTAACTATTTTCCGAAAGTGGACGTTCTCTCGCGCTTTGCCCCTTTCTAGAATTTGCTCGCAGTAATGTCTGGTTATAATTGGGCCTCTCATAGCTGGGGTTGTGCTTCTTAGAGAGAAGTTATTTATGTACCAAAACATTTTTGCAGCAGCCCTTAAACTGAAGTTTTCCATGACCAATATTTCGAAATTCCGATTTTAAATGATCAATTTTTTTTGTTATATTTTCCAAAGGCACCTAAATGAAGTTTAAATGAAGTTTCGAAATTGAGCCTAAAATGGGCAGACTCGATAATGAATTGGTTGCTTTTATATTCGCAAGGTTTCACCCTAACTATAAATATCTAATTATATACGAGAACGTAGTTGCGATCATTTCTCAAAAGAAAAATTCAATTTTAGTCCGCCTTTGTCAAGGTTTTTGGTGTAGATATTGGCAGGCATTCTTATGGCAAAGAAAATTATTCTTAAAATGGCAAAATAAAAGAATGTAAGCCTAACACTATTTTCTATCTACCTAAATCCTAAAATAAAATGACATGACTAAGCAAATTTTAGACTGTTCGATGTTCTCTTATCGCATTCTCAATGTCCTCTAGCTGATCATTTAGGTCCACGATATTCCTATCTAGTTCTCTTCGTTTGGCTAGCTTTCTCCGTCTTAACGTACGAAGCTGATCATATTGCTAAATGGAAAAAAAAAACAAATTAAAAAGAAAATAGAATCATTTCAAGTACAAACTATTTTCAGAAAGTAAATGTTATCCGTGGCTTTGCCCTTCTCGTGAAGCTTCTCAGTGGAATGCCTAAGTAATTCGTTTGGAATTAGCTTAGTAATAGTAATTAACAAAAAAAAAATAAACAAAAAAAGACTCACTTTATGTATTGTAAAGACCACACTCTTTGGGTATTCAATAGATTGAAAACATTTTTATATTTGCTGCGCAGAATATTTGCCATATTGAATGTCGCCACAGCCAGAAATTTTAGGTTGGAAAAGAAACAAAAATTTTGAAATTTAATTTTTCTTAATATATATACGCATCGTTTAAAAATCGAAAGGCAACTGAATGTATTTCCAATGACTACGTTACAGTAGACATTTTTGACAATATGTTCATATATATTCTTGGCTAGGAAGGAGTTGATATATGAAGTCAGTGTAAATATCACGCACTGAACTTGAATTGAATAAGCTAAAAACAATGCACTTAAAAGGAACAAAAGCACAGCCTTTCATTCCAAATGTCGCTTTTCTATGCGATTCTCATTAATTGAAGCAACGCATTACCATGATGGAAGCCGAACACAAGAAAAACCAAGTTTTTAATAGAAAAACCAAGTGATTTAATATTATTAGAATAGTGCACCATATATTTGGATAAAAATTACAACGGTTATTTAATTTAAGAATCTTCGTAGAGAGTCATATTTGAATTGAATTTATCGTCCATATGGTTGGCTTCCTCGTGCAGTCTATTCTCCATCATTTTCAATTGTTTCACTGTTCAACTTTGCTAGGACGTAGTTAATTTTTTTTTCCAACTCTACTATTTTTAAGTCAACCAATTTGCGCTCGTTAAGTTTTCTATTCCTTTTAAAACTCGTGTGCACATGTAGCTTTGGATAGATAAATAATTAACTACATACGAGAGGAGCTACATTTATAGAATACAAACTAGTTTCAAGGAGTTCAAATAGTTATCTCTTCTGCCCATCTGCTTATACGTTTTACGGCTGTAATGCCTGGATAATAGATGACGATAGATTATTATGTGTTACCCCACAGATATCGGGGAGCTCACTTGAAGGTCTGTTGATGAACAGATCTTAAGGGTCTCAACAAGCACAGCGCAGCTCTCTTTGTTTGCCCGAAGAAGCCTTCCATAATTAGCATCTGAAAAAGTAAAAAAGAAAAGTAAAATTTTGAACAGGCACAACTAGACTTAAAAATGATTGAATTTAGTACTAAAGGAAACTGACATAGGAAAATATTAAAGCAATGGCTCCTACGATTTGACAAGTCAGCCATTCAGCCGGTCGTCTTCTTTTCGCGGTCATTGTTTTTCTTTTTGATGCTATCAATTTGCTTATCCAACTCTTCAATTCTCTCTTTTATAAGGTCCCTCTCCTTAAGTATTTTACCACGCAGGTCCTTCAGTTGTTCCCGTTGCTATAATAGGACGCGTGTTAAGAATCTGATGCACAGAACTCACACTCACAAACAAACCGTTTTTAAGAAGTGCACACTTTCCCTTGCCTTGCCCACCTCCCGGACCCTCTCGGTGTACCTAGAGTAGGGTTTAGAGCAAAGCTGAGCAGAGCTGAGCGGACTTTTCCGGGTAGCATGCACACACTTACTTAATCACTTGTTGACAGTAGAGTTGTTGGGGCTGCAACAAACGAAGGTTTTTCGCAACGAAGGCAGACACGGTAAGCAAATTTTGAGCCATTTTAAAATTGTTTCTCTTCAAATTTGGAAAAATAATGAATTTACATGAAAATATTGAATTTAATGAGTATACAGAAAAAGAGTCTGACATAAATCAAAATGTTGAAGGCTAAGGGCAGGCTAAATAGTTTATAATAAAAGGCTATAAGCAAAACATGTTAGGGATTAATTCGCGTCATCCTTAGAGCTGAAAACAGATATCGAATATGAGCATAAAGGTGAGCTACATGCTATTGATATGCCCTCCAGCAGCAGCTCTTCCCCTCCATAGAAAAAAACGTTAACTATATAAAACTATTGTAATTTATTTCACTCAAGTTTTGATCGTTAAGGTAAAGAAGGTGCGTTAGGCGTACATGGTCCTGGGCTGACCGGGCTGACGTATGGGCGCATCGTAATAGAAAGGACGCTGCTGTGGCTGCGACTGTGAGCCGCCCCTCCAGCTGTTGCCACCACTGTGGCGCGAAGGTACGGCCTGGGCGCCGGGCAGCAGGCCAAGCGCTGCAAACAGCGCCAACAGCAAAAAGCAGAGTGCGTCGAATTTCATGTTGTTCTACGGGAAACCCTTTTCGTCGACTAATTAGCCCGACTCACTGGGCAGAGTAATTTATATAGACAGTTCGCATTGTGCTGGTGAAGCACCGAGCGGGGTTTTTGTTTTGCATACAAAGAAACTTGCGTCTGTCACTGATAAGACCACGAAAATCACCGCCTAATTCTGCTTGCTCTTCCCTCTCTCTCTCTCTCTCGATCTCTGCTTGTTATCTCACTTTATGAGGCTCTCTATATTTTTTGTTCACGCTTCTCTGGCCGCGTTGGTTCTGTGCTCGCCTGCTCTTGCGGCGTGACTTCTGCCGGCTTCTGCATTTGCATCATTTCGATATCGAAATCCATTTGCTTAATGCTCCTCGTCAGATCTGTTAACATGGACTCTACGCAACGCTGTCGCTGCAATAGCACCTTGGAGCGGGCCTCCAGCTCGTTGCGCTCCTGGGAATTTGTATGTTCGCATGAGTCTAGGTGTATAACTAAGTATATACTACTTACCAGACGCAGCTCCTCCAGCTTTAGATCCATACTGTTGCCCATTACATTAGCCAGATTAAAGTTGTTTTTGATTAAAAATTTCCTTGAAAGAGGTTTTTAATGCATTTTGTTAATAATTAATAATGCCTGAAGTGGCCTTACCAGTTGGTTAAATCTTTGGTTTGTTTTAGAATTTTGCGTATTATATTCGACATTTTCTAATAAGTAGTTAAACGAAGGCCAAGAATTCAATTTCTGATAAGAAAGGAAAACGAATTTAGTCTTCTAATACACACAATTTTGATGTATACTCAAATGTAACTAAGTTTTTTCAATATGAAAGTAATGTTGTTTTTAGAAATTTGCCCAAATCAACGCTGCACATTTGACGCGGGCATGCACATTATTCGTGGACGTCACTGTGCTAATGCGCTCAATTGAAACTCTGGTGCATACTTTTAGGCTAATTTTAAAGCTAATTTCGGTAATTGTCAACTCATGCGCTGAGCACGTCTTCAATGACCTTGACCTAGCATTTCTCGATCAGCACCATGGAAAATTCATTTGTAAACAACTTTTGTGTTAATTGTTCGATTGTTATGAAAAGATGGCAGTCAAACCAGCTGTTCCGCTTTAAATGCACCTGAAAGAGGGGTATTTGATCTGCGAAGGGAATACAAGAACTCAATTTTGCTCTGTGAGATCGAAGCTATATATTCAAACATATTTGCATTCCGAATAAATTCCGAACTCAGTTCAAATGCCAATTAAGATTATGTAATCAAAAAAATGTAATACAATTTCAATTGAGGGGTATGTACTTCCTTCCTTCCTACCTAACGTGACATAAAATATAAAATGTTCCGAATTGATCAGGAATCAGTTAATTTTATGCGCTTACGTTGACTTGCGGCACCCAGAAGCAATATCAGAGTTAATTTACAGGCGAATAAATATTGCTTATAAATACAATTTAATGAATGACGTTGCGTAAAAGAACGTTCTGAATTTTAATTCAAAATGTTAACAGAGCCGAAAACCAGTTAGCAATACGTACATAAGGACTGTTAGATGCAAGATCTAGACGAGCATTAAATTTATTTACTACACTGATTAAATAAGACGTTAAACCCGAAATAGAAATGAGAAAAACAAAACATTTAAAATTCTCTAGTAAGATAAAGCTGTTAAGTAAGATCTCAGTCAAATGTTATTAATCAATGGGATAACCAGTTGACGATCCTAGAAGAAATATAAAATTCCAGTTTTATGCCAAAAGCGTGCATTAAAAACAATTCTTTATTAAAGCATTTAGAGACAGTTCGTGTTTACTTTAAGAACCATACACAAATATATAAACGTTAAATGCAATTAAGTTAAATGTCACGATATAGTTTTAAGTGCTGCGAGAGTGTTTTTTCTTCAGTTGTTCACTTGTGCAAGTTGTTAAGGAAATCCTTGTGGCGCTGGATGGCCTCCTCGTGCTCCTTGATCTGCAGATGATGGAATTCGGCCTGATGGATCTGATCGTTTTTTAGGCGCTCCAATTGCTCCTTTTGCTGAAAAAAAAAATAAACAAACAAAGATTTGTTTGAGTAATTTATTATTGCAACGTGAGCACAATTGATGGGCAAAAGTTAATTATACCTTAGCGATAATTGACAATATTGTTTTCGAAAGTATTATTTACCGACTTTATAAAGCCGCTTAGCTATCGCGTAAAAGCCCCAGTGTCTGAGCGCCAGCGCGAATATTAAGTAAAAATACTTTTAACACACACACACACAGAGACGAGCTCCCCAAAAAATGTCTATTAACATCTTGTCACCGCATGCAAATTAGCCACCATATTATTAACTTGCGAATGAGAGAACATAAAAGCTAAATAAGAGAAAAAGACTCGGGTGAAAAACGAAAACATATTATTTTTGCTGCTGCTGCTGCTGCCGCTGTTGCTGCTGTAGCATCTGCCTGAGATCCCAACCTGAACTTGAACCTGATTCTGTATCGGCTGTTGGATATTGGCTGGCGTTGCCTTCGAGCCAGTTTTAGTTGTAAATTGGCAGCCGAACTGATGAAAACGCGACCAAAAAGCAAAGAATCGACCAGCAGAAAGTGGATATTGAACAATTATTATTGCTCCATCTGGCTAAACAGTGCTCATAAGAAAGAACGCAAATACAGCTAATTAAAAGTCAATATTTATGAATGCGGCTTAGCCCGCCTGCAAGCCTAAATATTAAAATTATCAGCACCAAAAAGAATACAAATACAAACACATATATTCTTCTATATAAATCGTTGATAAGCGCTGCCCATCACAATTCTAGCCAGCACTTTGACAATTGAGCAATCATTCAAGATGAGACAGCGACCAGAAATAATGCGGCTGCTGGCTTTGGCTCTGCCTCTGCTGCTCGTAATCAGCACAAGTCTTGGGGAGGCTGGCTACAGCCCTGCCAATCTCGGTCCTGGCTACAGCGCTGCCGGTGTCGGTCCCGGCGGCATGCTTCCTGCTGGGCCAGGCTTACGACGTCCCACGCGCACCGTGGAAACGGTGCATCAATGGCGACAATTGGAGTACGGCTTCGCTTCGGAACAGGATCGTCAAAAGGCGCAGGCAGATGGTAATTTGATGGCGGGCTATGGTACGCCCATCGATGTTCAGCCACATTATTTGCCCAACGGGCAGGTGCGTGTTATTACCACCGTGCCACGTTTTGTCACCGGCATACCCTACACTCTGGCCACTGTCTCCGAGCAGTTGGGCAGCAACGGACCACAATTGCAGCCGTATCCCAGCTTTAACTGGCACAACAACAATGGTGACAACTGTGACCAGATCACCTCCGCGTTTCGTGTAGCCGTAAGTAGCTGGGAGCTGTGCGTACCCAAATAGGTTGGCTCATTGGTTAACTGCTTTCCAGATCTCGGAGTGCAATCAGTTGTGGGTCATTGATTCGGGCAATGTTGGTGGCATGCAGCGCTGCCCGCCGCAGTTGCTGCAGTTCGATCTCAACGACGATCGTTTGCTGCATCGCTTCCGTTTCCCCAATGATACTTATGTGTCGGGCGCCTCGCTCTTCATAACACCGAATTTGCTGGTTCAGGATCCACCGCCGCGCGGCAACTGTGCACGCACCATCGTCTATGTGTCGGATGTCTCCTATCACGGCCTTGTCGTCTACGATCAACAGGCGAATGCGGCTTGGCGCATCGAGAATCGTTTCATGTACCCAGATCCCGACCATGGACAGCACACCATTGCCGGCGAGAGCTTCATTCTGATGGACGGCAACTTTGCCGTGAACAACGACAAACGCAATCTCTATTTCCATCCACTGGCCAGTGTCAGTGAGTACTCGGTGCCACTGAGCGTGCTGAACAGACGGGCGAACTGGGAGGATGCTGTGGATGCCATGCCGGAGCAATTCAAGCTGCTGGGCAGGCGTAAAAGCGAATGTGCCGCCTCCGCCATAGACAGTCGCAATAATCTCTACTGTGTCACCTTCAATCCCATCAAGCTGTTCGCCTGGAACACGAACACGCCCTACAACACACGCAACTTTGGCAACCTGCCAGCCAAGTCCAGCGAGCTGCAGTTTGTTAGCGGCATGAAGGTGGTGCGCAATGCCGGCGGTCAGGAGGAGCTCTGGATGTTCTCCAATCGTTTTCAGGTATGAGTATTCCGTGTCAACCTGTTCCTTGCAAGCTTCTTATGCTGCCTGATTTTCGTCCTGTTGCAGAAAATTTCCAGCGGCACATTAAATTCGAACGAGATCAATTTCCGCATTTTGCGCCGTCCGCTGGACGATATACACAGCGGGGTATTCTTTGCCAGCGACGACGATCTGAGCAACCGTTTGGTCTTTACTTAATTTTAGTTAATCCCTACATAAGCCGACTACAGATGAGAGCTAATTGGTTACCCTAAATAAACAGTCTAACTACTTTAAGCATTCATTTTGCCAGTTCACGGAAGCTACAGTAAACGCTCGCAAATTAGAAAGCCTCGATTAAAGAGAAATTCCATTTTCGGATTAACCAAAATCGTAAAATACAAAAGGCTAAACAAAACAACAGATAAAACAATTAATTATAATATTTTAGTTATTTAGTTGCTTAATCGTAATAATATAAATATGGGACGCAATTAAACTACATCGCATTACATAACATTTACCCCTCGAACCGGGGTATTTTTATAGTCGAGCTGTATTGCGTTATGCTGGCCGCCTAGTGAAACCATATTTATCGCTAATATTTTTGTCAACAAAGTTCAAAGTCGCCTTATCGCCAATGCTACGCATTGAAGACGATTTCGCGGACACGTGGAACGAGTGGAATTTGTTTTAAATCAACTGGTTAACAACATTGAAACTGGATCCGGTTAAAAATAAGCAACTAATAAACAAAACAGAAGCTAATCAAACGAATATTGAATACTCTCTGGCAGGCCTAATGATTAGAGAAAGCTGAAAATACGAATTTTAAACCAAGAGATCACTTTGCATGATGACTTGGCATTAAGCAAACTATATGCAGAAAGAGAAATCTTACTTCGATCTTTAATTGACACCTTTAGTTTACTCTTTGGCAAAGTGAAAGAGTATTTTGATATTAGCATAAGATCTGAGAGATGAACCTTGTTTTGTATAATCAATTTACTCTTCAGCAAAGCAAACGGAGAGATCCAATAGCACAGAGACCCGCATCTAAGTTTGGTGAAACCTTGTTGTTTTTCGAGGGAAAAAACATTTCCAACGTCAAGTCTTAAGCAAACGAAAAGTTCAGTTTGCTTAAGATCTCAGCCGAAAACAAGACGTTAGAGTATATGTGATTTATTGCTGCGACACTTACGCAGGGCAATGGACTCTGCCTTGACAGCGTATGCTGCTGCACAGTGTGGCAACTGGAAGGGGCTGGAAGGCGTGCATAATTAGCCGCTACGAATTGCACAGCTTTTTTGGAAGTTATTTTTTCGGTTGATATAAACAAGATCTTTACAATGAGAATTTCAATGCAAGCTTTTAATGTGCAATTAAACCAGTTTACCACAAAGCTGACCCAATTGACCAGGTCTGGTCTGGTCAGGCGGATTAGAAAGACATGAACCGCACACTGGCGACGCGTGCGCAGTTACAATTTTGGTCTTACGTGGCGCAGATCACGCGAAAGTGAAAGGATTACAGCAGCATCATGGAACACCAGCAATGCCTAAGGATAATAGCAATGCTTAGCTGTGTGCTCGGCATCGTGGCAGGACAATATGCCACGGCGCCCGGCTTGGGATACGACTCCAAGGCCTTGGAGAGAGTCTTTGAGGCGCGCAACCTGCAGCTGAGCTTCCCCACGCCCGAGGAACGGGAGCGCGTACTGCGCGAAGGTCTCTATGATCCTGATGGTGTCGTGCCCATCGATGTGGATGTCTACTACACACGTAAGCAAATGACAATCGAAATATTAAGCTAACGCAAAACAAAAAGCTCTTAAGCTGACATCATTCTCCATTGTTGTGCTGCAAGTTCCATCCCAGATTTGACTAAATATCAACTTTCTTTCTTCGCTTAGATGGTGACAAGACGCCCTCCATTTTTGTGACCATACCGCGCTTCACTAAGGGCGTGCCCTACTCCCTGGCCTATGTGACCAACGAGGTGCGAGAGAACGGCACCGAGCTGCGTGCCTATCCCAACTACGATTGGCATCAATCCCATGGCGCCGACTGCAACGGCCTGACATCCGTATATCGCACACAGATCGACGAGTGCGGACGCATGTGGATATTGGACAGTGGCGAGATTGACTTTGTGCAGCACTGCCCGCCCCAGTTGTACGCCCTTGACTTGGCTAGCGGGGGCGTGGTGCATCATTATCGCATGCCTAAGGACATGTACAAGACGGGCGTCAGTCGCTTCGTGACGCCCACCATCGACCTGGATGCACACAATTGCGATGTGGGCCACGTGTACATGGCGGACTCTATTGGCGATGGCATTGTGGTCTATGACATGGCCGCCCAAAAATCGTGGCGCATCGAGAACAAGTTCACCTATCCGCATCCAGACTTTGGCACCTTTACGATAGCCGGCGAGAGTTTCCAGCTATGGGATGGCACCGTGGCTCTCACACTAACCCCACACGGACTGGCTGGGCACATGGAGCGTATGCTGTATTTCCACTCGCTATCCAGCGATTGGCAAATGGCAATACCACTGCAAGTGGTCAACAATGCCAGTATCTGGAAACGAAACGATGTCAGCGCTGGGCTGGATCAGTTCCTGCTGCTGGGCAAGCGCGGCAGCCAGTGTGTGGCCGCAGCCATGAGCGAGACGGGCATGTTGCTCTGCGGCTTGGTACAGCCGACCAGTATACTGGCTTGGAACATACGCCAAGCGTACAATCAAGAGAATCTATCCCTACTGATCCAAGATCAGCAGCGGCTGCAATTTATCAGCGGTCTTAAGATTGTCCGAAACCACGAAGGCAAGGAGGAGCTATGGGCGCTCTCGAATCGCTTACAAAAGGCTTTTGGAGCGGGACTTAATTTTAAAGAAGTCAATTTTCGCATACAAAAGTGCGGCATCCATGAGCTGTTCCATGGAATGCCCTGTTACTAAGCCCAATCTCAATCTGGCTGTCTTTTTGAAACCCAGTGTTGCCACCTTTTTTTCTTTTCTCGATTCTTCTACTTTTTTTTAGCACATTCGCCATGCTACAACGAAATTGCGGTAAAATTTTAAAGCATTTCTCATTTAGTGTGACCTGGACGCCATTTAAATAAATTGTACATATTTGCGTTTAGCTGAATTCAATTGCAGTCTACTCACCTTCTTGTAGAAGAACTCCTCCTCGCGTGCAGCCTCCAGCTTGCCAAAGGCGCCACCAGCAGCACGAATAGAGCCGCCGCCACCGCCGCCCTGGCCGGCGCCGCTACCCAAGTCGCCTAGCTGGCTGCCGCTCATTTTCGCCAATCTGTAGGGAGGAAAGCGCAATACATAGAAGGCATTAGAACATTTGCACTTGTTATGTAATAATGAAGTCATAGGCACACACAATCACACACACAAATGCATATATTGCCGGGTCAATAGAAATGAAATTTTCGTGATCGAATTATCTTATCAGTAATAATTTACGAAAGTTACGTATGTGCGTGTTAGAAAAATAATTTTGTGTAATGTATTTTGTTAAGCCATTTGTGTATAAAGGTGTTAACCAATTAGCATTTAATTATAGGTTAAAAACTTACTGTACTCCTGCGGGGTACAAACGGGCAGTGCTACGACGTACAACAAACATTTCTTTCAATAAGTTGTGCAAAAACTGATCTAAAAAATCTGGAAAAAGAAAATACGGCTTTTAAAACACAATGATCTGCGAGAAATTTCCGCAAGCAGTTGGGTTCCACGTAAAATAAACAAAGAAAAGCCACATGAATACACATTAAAATTTTGTTTTGTGTATCGAAATATCTATGGGTATGTTGCTCTTTTCTTTATTGTTTTCACACAAAGAAAAACATTAAATTATATGTATGAACATACATATATATAGAACAATTTTTATTGTGGCGCAAAAACCTACCTGACTTCTCTGCTTGTGAAACTTATATGTCGCAACTGTGCCCGAAACTTCGAGCCGGTTGGTTTTAGAGCTGCCACTATATAAAATAGGTTGATGCTGCCACTTCTCTTCTTTCATTAAGTGCATTATGAAATTTATACGATCTATCATGCAACATTATTTTTTCGCAACTAACAATTTAAATTATTTACTCTAATTTATATACAATCAAAATTCTTAAATTTTATAAAAATAACACTGCATTCGCCAAATGCAAATTGTGTGGTTTTGCTCATACGATACTCAAGCAGCATACTATTTAACAGGGTGGCAACGCCGCGTCGGTAATTTTACCAAATCGCTGCTACGGTCACACTTTAAAAGTTCTCAACAAAAATTTTGCCGACGGACGCTTGTTTATTTGTTTAATATAAATTTACTTTATTTAAGTATACAAATTAATATTATTACACATAAACGGGTCATAATCGCAAGCCAAAATGGCCGATGCCGACGATGGAGCCGAGCTGCTGTTCTTCGACACTTTCTCACACGAGGAAGTAACCGTAAGTTCAATTTGCATTTTTTCAGTATCAACATGTGTGTGTGCATTAAAAACGTTTTAAAATTGCCAAAGGATATAAATTTGGACTTGGTTCAGTTCCCGAAGCCAGTTTTTATAACACAAGTGCGCATTATTCCACTGGGCGCTCGAGTGCAAGCGGATTTTCCAGGCGGCGTTCGTCTTGGTGCCACGAATCCTTCAAAATTTGACCTAGAGTTCTTTGTGAATGATCTGGGCATGCCGGGCGCTTCGGCGTTTGAGAATTTGGGACTGCTGCGCTACAACCAGAACGACTGCATTCATCTCGACTGCTCGCAGGAGAAGATACCAACGGATGGGCTCGTGCTGCGGGGCTGGTACAGTGCCATTACCCTAGCTGTCTATGGCATACTAACCAACTCGGTAACGGAGCCCATTGCCAGCCCAACGTTGCCCTGTGAGCCGGCTATGACCGTACCCGAAATGTGCAATCTTAGCGGAGAGGCCCATAATGTGCTCCTACCGGACGAAGTGCTCAAAGACGACTGGTCAGAGCCAATGCAAAGCGAGCTGCTAGTTGCAGCGGCCCACAAGACCAGTGTCAGCGTCAGTGACTACGAGCACGAGGACATGGAATATGGCATGTCGCGCGATCATTACCATCAGCATGCGGATGAGGAACAGCGCGAATTGCGTCGCTTGCGACGTTCCACGCACTCCACGGATCATTCGCCGCCACCGCTACCGCTACGCACGCACACGCACTCGGAGAGCAACGACAGGGAATACCTGCGCTGGTGAGTAAAGTATTATATGACACTGTTCTATTCATTCTCTAATCTTTCTCCGTACAGTTCCCGCGACAAGGCGCCTCGTGATTGGTCGCGATCACCAGAGTATTCCAGCCACCGCTCACGTCGCAAGCGTTCGGAACGCTCACGTTCGGATGCAGACGAACACAAGTGGCCGCGAACGCCACCAGTTTCAATCGACTCGCCCACACGTCCGCGCTCCCCGGATACCATGGATTACGACGATGACGATACACGTTCGCACTACAAACTACAAAGTTCGCACGGCTATCGACACTCGGCGGAATCGTTGCCACGCGAGCGCGAAGAAGAGGAGAGGGAGCGTGAACGAGAACGCTCAGATACACCGCAGGAGCAATTTGAGCCCATTTTAAGTGATGACGAGATCATTGGTGATGATCTAGAAGAAGAAGACGATGGAGTCGATGCGGCTGCAGCGGCTGAGTATGAACGCGAACTGGAGGCAGCTGCAGCTGCTGCTCCGCCGGCCATAGACGCCTTCGAGCCATGGCAGCGTCCGCTATTGACATTCGACGGTGACTTGCAGGCGCATTTCAGCAAAGAGCTCGATACCCTTCGGCTACTCTTCAAGAAGCTATCGCTGCAGATCCGTTGGGACAATGTGAGCGCCTTCAACGAGGAGCACGGCGGCGTCACTGTGGACGAGCGCGAACAGTTCGTTTACCTGGGCGAGCAGTTAAACAATCAGCTGGGCTACCTAACGCAGCACTACAAGCGGCGCAATTTTGTGCTGCAGCAGTTCTTCAAGAACGACGAATCGCATCTGCGTCAAGCAGCGAATATATTGCAAATAGCGCTGAGCTTCCAAGCGGCTTGCATGCAACCGCAGCCGGCCTTTAAGATACGGCACATCAAGCTGGGCGCACGCATGGCTGAGTTGCTGTGCAACAACGAGCAACTGTTCCGGCATCTGCTGCAGCAGCACAACTTTGATCCATTTGAAGCTGTCTTTGCTCTCTACAAGGAGCCTTACATGGCATTGTCTATCAAGCTGCTACTTCTAAAGGCTGTATACGCCATGCTGGACACACAGCTCGGCATCAAGCACTTTTTGGCAGCCGATACCAACGGCTATCAGCTGATTGTGGAGTCAATCAAGACGGCCAAGCTAACCCGCACGAAATACGCACTGCAGGCCATCATCAAAAAGCTGCATCTCTATGAGGCTCTAGAGAGTGTTCGCAACAGCTGCAATCAGCTCTTCGTGCGCAAAGTGGAACGACCGCCGCAGGAGATTTGTCAAGAAATCGAATATGCATTCGAAATGCTCATGGATGCTTTGGTTGCAAACCAGCTAAGCTTTCAGCAGCCGCGCCGCTTTCTGCCCGTCTCCAAGAAATTCGAATTGGTCACCGATCCAAATGCGCAGCGCAGCTTTGGCAACGCGCTGCAATCCTACTTTAAGCAGCACGCACTGGCCGAGTCCCTGCTGCTGATTCTAAGCAATTCGAAGGAATTACCAGCCACCACATTCTTGTGCTCACTGGATCTGATGCACGCTCTGCTCAAGTCGCACGTGGGCATCGATTACTTTGTAGACGATGCATTCGAAGCGACGCAACTTATTGTCGCCATACTGTTGGGCCTGGATGAAGTGCCTACGATACCCAAGCCGGAAATAGTCAAAGAGCAGGAGCCAGAAGGTAGGTGTCTTGGTTATCTGAAGCTTCAAGAAACTAAAAATAAATTTGCGTATCATACAGTTAAAACAGAGCAGACAGATAAACCCGTGGAAACATTAGAAACCTCGGAAAAGGAAACAGATGTTAAAGTTGAGGCTGCACCTGGCGCAACTGTGGCTATTGATGTTGCCGTGCAAACGGAGCCCACACCCGTAAAAGTACCTCAGAAGTTGGCGCCCATTCTTCGGCCCGTTTTGCCGCGCTTGGCGCGTCTGGGTATTGAGCTGGCCTACAAAGTGCAGACACGCTATCACCTGGATGCGATTGTCTTTACGGCAGCAGCGCCCGAATACGATGCCATCAAACTGGCCACACACATGCACTCGATATACTCTCAGACCTGCGATCCGGCAGGTCGTCAGCACACCATTGAGGTGCTGGGACTGAATAATAATTTAAAGATATTCATGGACCTCATTAAAAAGGAACAGCGGCTGCAATCACAGCGACAGCTGAGCTCGCCTGGTACTAAATACAAGAGTCCAGTGCTTAGTTATGCAGTGGACATGGTCGACGCCTGTGTACGCTACTGCGAGCAGCTCGACTATCTTATTGAGCATGGCGCAGTCATACTGGAGCTGGCCAAGAACCATGAAACCTTTGAGCCCTCTGTGTCGGCCGTGCTGCAGGAGATGTATGTGTACATGAAGCCATTGGAGGCCATAAATGTGTTTATCTACGATGACATAATGCCCCTGGTAGAGGTAATTGGACGATCCCTGGACTATCTGACCACATTTCCTGGTGATTTGATAATGGCTTTGCGTATACTGCGTTTCTTGGTCACCACCAAGTCGACACCGCCACCCGGCATCAAGCAATCCAAGCGCGTGGGCACCGAGGAGCTGAAACATCGCTTTGTGGCCCTCCAGCTGTACGCGGCAGACGGCGTGCAGCTTATGATTCAGATAATGGAACGGTTATGCACGTATTTTGAGCAACCCGGTATGCATGCGCCCGCCCTGATGACCATTCAGGGTGTGCACTGCTGCCAGATTATGTTGCCCACGCTGCAAATACTTCGGGAACTGCTCTCCTATGCCATACTGTGCCGCGATGGCACCTTCAAAGATCTGACCTCGATTGATCATCTGGTTAAGGTATATTTCCTGCTCTACTATTATCCAACACGCTGCCAGGCCGGTGCCGAGGTGGAGCAATGCAAACTGGAGGTGGTGCAAACTCTTTTGGCCTATACACAGCCGCACGAGCAGGACGAGGAGTCGCTGCATAAGTCGCTCTGGACGCAAATGATACGCGAGGTGCTGAAAAACATCGATGGACCCGCATACTTTATACCGGGTCTCAAGTTGTTGGCGGAACTGCTGCCGCTGCCGTTGCCCATGCCACAGCCGTTGAGCGATCAACTGCAGCAGCAGCACAAACAGCGTTTGATCACCGAACGGAAACTGTGGTCCGCTCACCTGCATCCGCAGAGCGGACAAATTGCCAAGTTGGTGGAAGCGCTGGCGCCTTCAAGTTTCCCGCAGCTGTCGGAGCTGCTGCAGCGCGTCTGCATGCAGCTATCGGACTTGGCGCCCAATATGACGCTGCTGATAGCCAAGACGATTATGGAACTGTTGTGCAATGAATACCAGAGCTCCAACTGCATGCCGACCACCAATCTGGAGCGCCTGCTGCGTTTCTCCACGCGTCTGTGCGCTTTTGCCCCGCTCAAGAGCTCCATGCTGTCGATTTTATCGGGCAAATTCTGGGAGCTTTTCCAATCGCTGTTATCGCTAAACGAGTTCAACGATGTTGTCTCCAATTGCCAGGAGGCGGTGCATCGCATACTAGACAGTTTCCTCGATTCGGGCATTTCGTTGATTTCACACAAATCCACAGCACAACCGGCGCTGAATTTGTCTGCTGCACTGCCGCCCAAGGAGCTAATTCCACGCGTCATCGATGCCGTTTTCAGTAATTTAGCCAGCGTGGAGGTGACACATGGCATTTCCATTCTGGCAGTGCGCAATCTGGTTATACTCACCGAGCACGAGTAGGTGTGCAAGTGTTCCTTTGCAAACTTTAGCTAATTAACGTATTTATTATTTTAGCTTCACTTTCTATCACCTGGCGCAGCTGCTGAAGCAAAAGATTAGCGAGTTCCAGGCGTGGATGGAACGTGTTATACTTCACAACGAGACGGTCGAGTATAATGCAAACATTGAGTCGTTGATTCTGCTGTTGCGATCCTTGACACAAATTGAGCCACCGCCTGGAATGTCAGCCATGCCGCAGCGTACGCTTAAACTGGGCCCCGTCGAGCTCGTCCAGCTGCTTGAGTTTCAGGATGTGGAGCTAGACAAACCGCCAGTGCTACAGCGCATACTCAAAGTGCTGGAGAAGTACAAAGCAGTAGCTAATGAGGCGGCGCTGTGTGATCTGAAACAGCTCATTGCACTGCAGGCAGCTAAGCAAGAGCAGGATACGCTCGCAGCAGCAGCGGCTGTTCCAATGGAAACGGCTAACGAAAGCGATCCCAATGCAACTGGCAGCAGCAACAGCAACGTCGTCGTCACAGGCGCACTCAACGTGGAGCCATATCTGCCGCAAGCGGAGGGCATTGTCACTCAGTACGAGGCACGTCCCATATTTACACGCTTCTGTGCGACGGCTGATAATGTGCAGCTGACGGCGCGTTACTGGCTGGAACCGCTGCCCATTGAGGTTATTGAAGATATGGATGAGCCGCTGTACGAGCGCATTGCCTGCGATTTGACTGATTTGGCCAATGTGTGCCTGAATCCCGATCTGAATCTCACGGGCGATTGCAAGCGTGTACTGCATTTATCAGGCTCACCACAATCCAATCGCGAGCTGACGCCAACAGCACCCTGTTTCCGTACCCGACGCGTCGAGGTGGAGCCCGCCACAGGTCGGCCCGAAAAGAAAATGTTTGTGAGCGCAGTGCGTGGCCGAGGCTTTGCCAGGCCGCCACCCTCGCGCGGCGACCTATTCCGATCTAGGCCGCCAAACACTTCGCGGCCGCCATCGTTGCATGTGGACGATTTCCTGGCGCTGGAGACGTGCGGCGCACAGCCCACGGGGCCAACGGGTTACAATAAAATACCCTCAATGCTGCGCGGCTCGCGAGTGGGTCGCAATCGCGGCTCACGCATCTCCGCGGCAGCTGCGTACAGGTAAACAGTTTAAGATTTACTAACCGCCGTGTCTTTAACTAATTTTTTGTTTCTTGTTTGCAGACAAAAGAAACTGTTGCGCATTGGCTCACCCTCCAGCTGGTCGGAGTCGACGGGCCCGCCGTATCGCTCCGGCAATGCTGAAACGCATTTTAGCGGCGGCGACTCCCACTATACATCGCCACATTACAGTGGACGATCTCGTGGGCGTGGCTTGCGCTCAAGACCGCCCTATTTGCGTTAGAATCAACGCCGCCGCAAATGGCATATGTTTTTGTGTATATTCGATTTATACAATTTGTACGTAACGTGATTAAATTTAAGATTTCTCTGTAACAACACAATTCAAGCGCACATCGTGCTCCTCCACGGGCAGCTCCTCGTTACTAACGATCTGTTCGTTGAGAGCCAGCGCCATAATGGTCGTCTTCTTGTGTGGATACTTCTCCGCGTGCTGCTTTAAATATTTATCGTAGTAGCCCATGCCGTGGCCCAGGCGATCACCTCTACGCGTGAACGCCACGCCCGGCAAAATGAAGAGATCAATGCCATGGCCTGCAAGAGTGGGTAAGTTTCTCCATAACCATAGCATATATATTTATTGCCTACCATTTGTCATGGCATCCTCGCGGGTCTCCTTGAAATCCGGCTGTTTAATGTTCCATTTGGTCAGTGGCAAACCCTCGTATTCTTGCATATCCCGCAAACGCACCATTTTCATCTTCGTGCCCTGATAGCTGGGCACAAATACCATCTTCTCCAGCCTGAACATCTCACGGATTATCGCCGTGGTGTCCAGCTCGTCACTGGTGCTCAAATAGATGCTAACGCGCTGCGCCTGACGAAATGCCTCGTTCTGCAACACCTGCCAAGAATAGACACCTATGTTGTTTACTTAGATCTTGAGGTGATTCTGTATGTACCGACCCTTGAGGTCACAGCCTGCGACTGCTTCGCTATGACCTCGGGCGTTAGGCAGCTGAGGATCTCCTTCATGTGTTTCCTCAGCGCGACTTTCAGGCTGTTCTGGAGGGTAGCTGCCATGGTGTGCACACTTGTCCTAACCGGTAAAAACTGTTTTCTGTTTACTGCCCTCTGCTGCCTCAACGGCTCTCTGTCCGTCGATTATCCGCTTATCAGTAAATGTGAGCCTTATCAGTTCTCAATGTTCTCTCCCAATTCGTAAACAATCGTCAGGTCGGCTCTTATGTATATAAATGAATATAGTATTATTTAACAATGTTAGCAGATAGCGCTATACAAACGTTAAATTGAGCTGCGCATTTGTGTAAAATTGCCTTTTTCAGTAAATTACAAGCGATGTTTCCCAAATGGTTACTTTGTACGTGTATTGACTGTAGTTTAAGCGGCTTGTACACACTTTTGCTGACAGCGCTCGTCGTCGCCTTAAATTTAGCACTAAAAATGACATCAGCTGTTGCCGCCAGTGCTGCCAATTCCGCTTGATTTCCGTCATATTTAAAGTTTTAAGAAAAAGAAATTGCGGCAATTTTAAAAAGAGCGCGCAATGAGAATGTCAGCATTTTAAAATTTGTTTTTATTTATAATCATTTTTTTTCTTCTTTTACTTGGAAATATAGAATTTAAATATATTTCTTATTTTCCTGTAGCTATAAGATATAGAAAGCTTGCCACAAAGCTTTTTGTGTAAATTAATGAAGACATTCGTAGAAAATATTTTAGATATATTGTTAATAATAACAATACCTAAAACAGCGAATAATTTTTATAGAAAGATTCGAATATAGTTAGTCTTTCTCTGCGTGTCTTGTGCTGATATGAGCGACAATGAGAAATACAATATATGAAGATACACATACAGTTGTTGTTGTTGACAGATAACGTTAATTTTTTTATGAGGCGTTGGTTTAGTAAACAATTTGTGAATCTGGGTAAAGTATCTTATCGTAGGTCATCCAGCAACAAAAGTTCTTCTAGTGTTACTTTGTTGCTTTGCAGTCTTTGTTCTATGAGACGATCAGCTCGCTCGATTTGTTCGGTTGTCAGCTCGTCCTTATAGCCATTCACCTTGCCGCTGCGTACAAAGCTAGAAGATAAATAATTAGTTATGTTAAGTATTTATTTCTCATATTTTTTTTACCTACTTGTAAATGGTTTTACGAGCGTTTTCATGTTTAAAGTCAGCACTTTCCCAGTTGTGATTTGTGGTCGGATTTTCTAAGAGAAAAGAAGGACTAGAGAAACGTTCCGATTTCCCTTCAGTTGGTGACTTACTCTTCATTTCTTCGAACGACAGATGCTTTAGTAGGCGTTCCATTTGCTGCTCCGTTACAGTCTTGTCCAGAAATTTGCAGAGGTCTTCAATAACAGCGCGCAGATCGAGTTTCATGCGCTCGAAGCTGGTGTAGTATACCCACGGCTCGTTGCGCAGCTGATAAAACTCAGCTGCATGTTCAATTGATTCCAGTTTGATATTCTCGCCATCTAGACACGCGTTAACAAACTGCTCCAGCGTTGAGCCATAGTTGAAGCCAATGGTAACTCCGTGATAATAAGCAGAAACCCAGGCGTCTTTGGGATTTCGAAAGACATAAACCACTTTCGCCTTCTTTTGCCAGAGCTGAGCGGGCAACAAGGGGAGCGGCAGATGGGATTTGATTAGCCGTGGCGACGGCAGCTCTTGTACGGGTTTCAGAGCTCTTTGTTCATCGGTGTGGATTATAAAATCATATCTAAGGCCAAGCGTTATATATAGATTGCCTCGTTATAATCTACATACGTACTCCAGAAAGGGGGAGCGTAGTTCCAAGTCCTTGGACAGTGCCGCTTCGAAATTGCAGTCATTTAGCAATAGCCAAAGTAGTTCCTGCATCCAAGTGGTGCCGCTTTTCGGATTCGTAATCACCCAAACATCATCCTCCAATACCTCCATGTTGTGAATCATTTCTGGGAATGATTTAGCCGGACTTCGAAAACAAAGTTTCCGCTCGGCCCAGTTTTTGTCAATTAGATTGACTGGATAGCTCTTCGGCGTGATCCGCTCGTACTGCATTTCTAAGCTCTACTAATGCTCTATCTGGTTATATGTCGTTGATATACCAAAAACCCACGCATAACAAAAAAAAAATAAGAGTTTTCATTGCTCTTAATTTTTTGTAAAACCTGCTCTTTGTGGCAGACATAGCTGCGCTGTAATCAAAATGAATGTATGGCTCTCTGCGCGCAAATATGATAGTAAAACGAATGCAATTGTCGAGTATGCTCGACGAAGAGATACTTATTACATTTATCTATTGCATTTCTATACTCATGTACAGAATCTTATGGACTTTCAGTTCACTTCTGTTGCGCTCATTCAGATTGACACACTGTTAGATTGCAATACCTAGTTTGATTAGTCCACTAATATTGATTATAGTATATATTCTCACCAAAAGAATTGCAGATAACTCTGTTTGGGAATATGTGCAATAGCTTAATCTTTTGAAAAATAACGTGATTTATTATCAGTTTGATTGCGATTTTGCCCTAAATTGATAGGAAAATGCATGTCATACATATGAAAAGAAAATTTAATACAGAGCTTAACTGCTTTTGATCAGCAAGTTACAAAATATTAAGACAAATAACTGGGCCTAAAAATCCAATGAATAAATTAAACATTCATAATATAGTTTATCTGTGTAGGCTATATATTAAAATTATTTATTTGTCATTTGTCATTGTTCAACCAAGGCAGTTTTCACTGTATTCGTATGCGAAGTGCAAGCTGATTGCCGCATTTCCTCATTAATAGTTGCAATGTTTTGTAAAGTATGAAACCATTTATTATTAACAAATACATATAGCTGTAGTATAAGCATACTGTTGCTTGTATGCGTATATCACATTAGCTTACAATCTATTCGATGTGATTAATCGACGCGCGCTTACAACAGTGTCTTGGGAATTGCCTGTTCATTGTACTTGCTGTAAGTTGCAAAATCATCCATGTGCAATTTGTAGTCCCGGAGGTTGACGTCGGACCAAAGATCAAATTCGCGTATCACGTCCGCCGTCATTTCGTCCTTGTGGCTGCCCACGACGCCGCGTCGCACAAATCTGTGTGGAGCAACACTTTTTAGACGTTCAGCAGCAGATCTCTGGGCATCCAAATGCAAGTGTGGCTTACCTGAACTCCTCCACTTCGCGGCCGGCTGCTGCCTTCATGCTCTCGAACTCCTTGGCATGATTGCAGGCGGGATTGTCGCGCATGCTCTCAAAGGAGAGATGTTTCTTCATTTGCTGCACTTGCTCACCGCTGACGGAACGCTGCAGGAAACGCGCCACATCTTCGATAACCTGGCCGAGCTGGGTCTTCATGCGCTCGTAGCTGGTGAAGTAGATGTGCGGCTCGTGGCGCAGCTGCCAGAAGTCGAGGACATGTGGCCAGCAGGGCGTAAAGTTCACATAGCCATCGATGAACGAATGCATGAAATCATCCTTTGTGCCTTGGTAGCCGACCATGCCGCGCCAATGATGAAAATATGAGACGGCCGCATCCTTGGGATTGCGATACACATAGATGATCTTCGGCTTCTTGGTCCATATCTGGCGGGGCAGCAGCCAGGCGGGCAAATGGGATTTGATCAGCCGTGGCGAGCTCAAGGCGTTGGCTGCCTCGATTGTGTCGTGTGGCACGTTCGGCACAACTCCGTTGAATCTAAGTAGGCCGAGACACACAGCTTAATATATGGTGAATAAGGCTAACGTTTTGGCTTACTCCAAAAATGGGGAACGTATGGTCAGGTCCACGCTCTTGGCCGTCTCAAAGTCGCAACGATTGAGCACCAGCCAGGTCAGCTCCTGCATCCAGGTGGTGCCGCACTTGGGCAGCGTTACAATCCACACATCGTCCTCGCGCACCTCGAACTCATGCACACGATCCAGCACGGGCTGGAATGTGTCGGCCAAACGACAGAAACGCTGCTCCCAGTTGCCCACCACGGGCACGCCTGGCTCTCGAGTGGCATAGATCGAGGAGTAGCCGCCGCTGATGGCCAGCTTATCGATTTGCTCGAAGGGCACGCTTCTCGCAAAGAAACTCGATTCGGGCATATTTTTGTTCGGGTTAGCTCACAGACGCTCAAGCTACACTTGTTTTTTGATTGATCTGATGGATCGAAGTCAACCGTACGGCTCTGCAGTTGGCGCCGCATTGAACGCGGCTACACAGTCAGCGAGAAATCAGAGGCAGAATTTCTCGCCCTACGCTCACTTCCAGAGATGAGCGCGTGAATTGAAGGGAGGTGAAGTGAAGTGAAGTGAAGTGAAGTGATTAATAATTTGTTAAATTGGGCTCGTTCCTTTTAATTGTGTAGTTAAGTCTTTATATATATTCAACCGATATCTTCGACTTAAATATTCTTCATAATATTAAGTTAGTTTCAGTAATAATATCAAAGAATCGCGGCTTGGTTGTTTGAAAGTCGAACTAACAAGCGACAGGTCGCTGGTTCAAATCCAGCAGCAAGTTTTCAATTGTTTGCTTTTTCATTTTTTTATTAGAATAATGCCATGATCAGGTTGAGCTGAATCGAACATAAAAACATGTAAATAACGATGAACGTAAAGTGATAAACAGCTTGCCTCATCTCCATCTACATAGCCATATATGTCGCTGTATTATATAATGCTCGCAACGGCACCAAAAACTTGTAAACAGACTCGTTTTGTCTCATCTTCGGTTTGATATTTCGAAAACGCATTTAATGATCGGGTGCTGTAAGACACTTTCTTTACGGACGGCCTTTGTGGCTGGGCATGCTCTTGTTGAAGCCAGCCGTAAAAGAAAGTTGTTGGTGCTAACGATTCATTGTCAACATTTTTTTGTTTGTTTGTTTACCCTGTGTTCGCGAAGGTGAAATTATGCGTACATCTTTGGGCAGCCATTTGGCCCAAAAGAATCGAATCGTCAGGCCGTAAGCAGGTTGTTTGAATGCAGATCGCAGGCGCAAAGCTTGACGCAAATGTAAAGCCAATTGATTTGAATGGAACTATTCGCGCGGGCGACTACAACAAATATTCGCTTTATTCCACAGCAGAGAGCAGAGATTTGCATAGCCAACGCTCACGTTACAAAATGTGAATATCATTTGGCAAGAATTCGAAATTATTCTAATTTCTGACCTTGGCCAAAATGTAAATTTCACTTTCGGTTTGTTTTCAAATTTGAAAAGTATGCAAAGTTTTTGTATTATGTATTTGCGTTTTTTTATTCGCGTTTTCTTTTGTTGTTTGTTTTTTTTTTACAATAAATTTGACTAAATCTTAACATTTATAATCCTTAACCTGCAAGGAGCAAACAGATGTAGTAACAAATATATGTCAGTATGTAGTTGTATAAAGATTTATCGTGTTGTTGTTCAAGAAACAAACATTATCTAAGAATTTAGTATTTGAAATTTCCATGCATTTGTTTAAAGAGCTTGTATTTAAAAAATAATTGTTTCTTGTTTTTTGCTTTGAAATTGTAAATACTTAAGCTGTGTGCGTGTCCTAAACACATACACATAAACTTTAAACGTACACACACACACACACACACATACACATATTAACAACAATAAATATATGTATATATGTATTCGTATATTTGTATTTGCCTTCAGTTAAAAGCTGTGCGCACGTGTGTGTGTATATATGTAGGGGTGTCTACAAGTTGGACAGGTAAATCAAGCCAGAATCCTGGACTACTTGAAGTTCGATCGTATCGGTTCATGGGGTTTACTTGTGTGTGTATAAACTGTATCAAAAATGTAATCGTTAGATAAATGTCTAATTACAGATACAAATAACGGTGTCTGTGAATAATGTTGATGTTGTGTGGCACACACATACACACACACACACACACGCACACGCATACATACATACATATATAATAATATATAAATATATTTTTTGAATATGCTTAATATGTTCGTAAAATTTGTATAAATTGTATACATATATATAGTTCATACTTATTAATTTGCTTTTGCTTTGATTCATAGGTATGCAAACACACATATATATATATATATATATCTTTATATGTATATGTGTATATATAATATTTTCTTTATTTTTTTTAACAAGAACATTAAATCGATTCGTATTAATTTACTTGTTATATATAATATGTAATTTGTTCAGTCAATTAGATAAAAAAGATTTCAAAAAGGATTCACTTAATCATAAATTGTTTGCATTTTGTTTTGTTGCTTCACGCATCAAAAGTAAACATAGTAAATATTAGATATTAGATAGAAGGTAGATAGTAAGGGGCCCCATAGAATTTCGCACGTTACATATGTGGATTCGAATTGTTGTTGTTTTTGTTTTTTTTTTTGTTTCTGTATTTTTGCTAATCAATTTAGTTGTTGTACATTAGTAGAAATAGATATTGATGTAGTTCTAGCAAAAGTTCGTCTGCTATGCACATCATGTGCTGTCCCAGCTAAACCATGCAAAGACCTAACACGCACACACAAACACACACACACACACACTCATCTAGCTATGGCCATGCGATTTATCTTAATTTAAAAGTAGTTGGACATTTGTATTAAACAGAGATTGTCTTCGTGTGTGAGGGGCTGCTGGTGACTGAAGGTGGGAGAGGGCAACACGCACGACTTATCAACTAGTATGTGTGTGTGTGTGTGTGTGTGTGTGTGTGTGCAATGGCCGCGACGCCATTTTGTTGGTTATGCCGTTATACCGTTTTAGGTACCCTAGAGCGCGCGGCATATTGTTCGTTGGACAATATGCGACTATGCTTGCTATATTTCATGTATTTGCATGTAGATTTGTATTTATTTATATACTTATATATATATATATATAAATGTTTTAACGCACACGCACACACATTTAATAGGGCACACAGATATACATATACACACAAATTTTGCTTTCTTTTTTGCGATGTTACTTAAATATTAAATTTTGAGTCCAGCCCAATAATTTTTTTTTTTTGTTATCTTTGTTTTTTTCTTGTTTTGTTTTGCTCTTCAAACATTTGCGACAATTATCTATTTGTTTGTTTTGTTGTTTTTGTTTTCTTGTGTGTGTGAAATCTTTGTTTGTTTTGGCACCATTTCTTGTGGCTAGCTCGCAATAAGGATTAAGAATCCACCTAAACACACACACAAACAGAGCTGTTTGGGAAGCGTTATTTAGTCGAGATATGTGTGCAATACAAGCGACAACAACAAGAACGATACCTATGCCGAGAGAGTGCGACGAAAGCCACGTCTCTGGGCCCGGATTCGCCTGCACTAGAGCATATCCTCCATTTCGTTCTCGCCAATTGTGGATGTGGCAGGCGCCTGGGCCGGCAGCGGCTTCAGTAGACCCGAGAATAATCTCCGAAAAGCCGTATGCTATTTAGAATTGGACGGCTTAATGCCCACAGGCGGCTGCTTGGCCATAATATCGGCAAGGGTATTAACGCCCTGCTCATCATATTTCTTCCACTGTGAGTAGTTGATCTGCATGCACGTGATCAGCTGAGGCATGTCCAGAAAACCTGCATGAAATGCAAATTCGATTATTTAAAATTTATCGTTAGTGAAAGATGAGCGCACTCACCGTCCCAGGCATGCATCATATCCTGTATTATATATTCGATGAAACCAATCTGGCTCTTTGGTATGCTGCAGGTGGCGCGATCGAACATGGGCATCACAATGGGCATGTGGCGCTGCTTCTCCTCGTCCGTCTGCATAAAGTACTCCTCGGCAATGCGGCGCGCCCACTCGATGCAGTACTGCATTGGACGCGCTGGATTGCTCACATCGGCCACCTTGATGAGCATGCGGCGCATGAGTATGGATGTCTCCTCCTCCGACTGCACGAGCTGCATTAAATGCTAATCGGTTAAGGATATTGTCAGATCTTCTATTGCGTCCAAACGTCTTACCTCACGCGGCTCAACCTCGCTGCCAAAGACGCTCACAAACTTGGCCAAGTGCTCAAAGTGACGCGTCATTTCCGTGGCCAGAATCATATCGATAATTGTGCTGCGCGCCGATTTGTACGTCTCTGTGTCCAAGTTCTTGAAAATGTTGATCTTGTCGTCGCCTGTAGACAGTCCATTTGTCAGCGGAAGGGTTTCAGGTTAAGCTGAGAGTGCACTTACCCAGGGTCAGCTTGAAGGTGATTGCCGCATGATGCGACTCCAGCACCGTCAGATCGTTATACAATATGGCCAAGGGATTGTTCGAGTTGCACAGAAAAGCGGAGGAGCGACCAGGATGATCGACATCGTGCGCCGCTGCCGCAATCAAGGCCGTGGCCTCATCCATGCGATCCATTACCATGTCCTTGTTGGCCAGCTGTGTGATGAAGGCGCCCGTTGCCTGCAAATAGACGTAACTTCTGAAGGAGTGTAATCTTGTAGAATTTATATGATACGCACCTGCATGACGTCCGCGGCGTGTGTGCTATTGTGATATGTGTTGCTCTTGTGATAGTGCGCCTCGATAACGGCCAGCCAGGCTTTGCAGACGTTCTCCTCAATGTTCAGTGTGGCAAAGACATCAAAGCGCCGGAACATTTCCATGCCCAAGTACAGCAGCGGATGGTAGTCGGTGATCTCTTCCAATTTGAAAATATCAAAGTCCCAGCTAAGAGATTCTTCAAGTAGTTCCATGATAATGGGATTGGCCTGCGAGTGTTAATATGGTTTATTAAAGTTCGCAAAACTATTTATAAACTAAATATTTAACTCCTGTCGCTAGTCTTGTAAGCAAAAATGTTTGCTGTACCGGTTCACGTCTCGAACTATTTGACTTGCTTTAAGGTTTGATTCGTGCCCTGTTCTCTGTGATTCTCATACTTTTTACAATTCTCTGTAGACTATTCAGATATTTGTATTTCTTGTTTCACTTTACTTTTTCAATTTCATTTAACTCCTTTCGCTAGTCTTGTAAACAAAGCTGTGAACCCAACAAAAATGTTCACTGGTTCGGTTCACGGTTCGAACTTGTTGCTTCGCTTTAAGCTTCGTTCCAGCCCCGTTCTCTGTGATTCTCATACTTTTTACAATTCTCTGCAGACTATTCACATATATTTATTTCTTGTTTTACTTTACTTTTCCCATTTGTTTGGGTCAACCATCCGTTTTAAAAGAATAATTCAGCTCAGGTTAAGGTTCAGCTGTTTCAAAGTCAGCTAATGCAGTTAGGGGTACGTTACATGATAAATAAAAACTGGGATTTCCGAACTCAAACCGGTTCGGTTCGAAACCTTTTTGCCGGCTTACTTAAAAGTTAATATTTTAATTGCCTGAAAATTAGCTTAGTAAAATTAAATTAATTGTGGCTACAAGTGGGGATTTATAAACAAATTGTGAAACATACCTTCATCTTGGCGGGCACAATGGTGGCAGCGCGCGTCGAGTTGCCAGTGCGGATGATGGAGTCGTTGGAGCTGCGTCGCGACGAGTAGACACTGGGACCCTTAAATGGGAAGAATGTTATAAGAGTGTGCTTTGCCATGCGGGCGGTGCACATACCGTTAGAAGGGCGCCAATGAGATCGGTGGCTATGGGATCATCGGTGCGTATCTCTTTCATTTGTGGACTGTAGAGTCCTTCGCGCTTAAGGAACTCCAAGACTTTGTCTATGAGGCGTGCCTCGTCGGCTGAACAATTCTCCTGTACTTGTGATAGTAAATTGATTATCTAAAGTGCGAGTGCGCAGTTTGTGTGTTGTTTGATTTTTTGAACAGAGTTTGTTGATTGATTTGTTTGATTGTTTTGTTTTGTTGCAAGCGACGCGCAGCGAGCAAAACGAACGAGCGAGCGAGCGAACGTGCGAGCGTATGGAACCAGTTCATATGTACAATAATGTTGGAATTGTTATTTGTTTTGTTTTTTTTTTTTTTTTTTGATTTGTTCAAGTACACAGAAAACATAAAAGTAAAAGAGAACATAACAAATATAAGAGATAAAAAAGAGAATAAATGTAAAAACAATAGTTTTAGTTGTGCAATTTGGGTGTGTTGTAGTCTGTTATTGATTCGGGTATTGACTCAGTATTGGATTAGTAGCGTTAGATCAAATTCAAATATTTGCCAGAAACGAGCCATTAGATACAGATGATTAAGTATGCCTTGTCATGGTCAGGACATCCACACCTGTTGGCTTAATTAGAGCTGTGCTTTTTAGATCAACTAAGATGACCTTTTTCTTGAGTGACACTTTTTTTATACTGTTATACAGCTGTTATACATTTGTTATACAACTGTTATACAACTGTTGCACAACTCAATTAACCCCATTTAAAGATGTGCGTTCAAGATCAACTAAACTCGCCTATATTTCGACTGAAACTATTACTTACTGTTATACAGCTAACCTTAGTTAGAATACTGCGTTTAAGATCAACTAAACTTATTTAATGACTGAAACTTAGCTATATTTTCTTTTATACAGCTGTTATACAAGTAAACTATCCTATTTCTCGGCTGGAACTATATATTGTGTACTGTTATACAGATGGAATGAATTTATATTTCATCTATTTTAGAGTTGAATTTCTGTTTCGTAGACAATTTGATTGCTATTAGTCGCCGTTCTTATTTAAAGCAACCATATTTACATTCATTGAATAAAACCCTGCTAATTAATTAATGAAGTGATTTTGATCAGTTCAGCACAACTCCGACCTTCTCAAATGGGTCTCTTTCAGTATCTGTATCAATGTGTGCGTGTGTGTGTGTGTGCACTGTATTTGATGTGCGTGGTTGTGGGTGTTGACAGTTGCTACTGATACTACAGTGGTAGTCTCTACATGGCAGGACATTATGACACACACACACACACACAGGCACACACAAACACACACAAACACGCACACATACGCGCATACATACGCGCATACGAACCACACACCACGGACACGGACGTTAATTTAGTATTTGCAACATGGGTACAGAAAGCATTCGTTGGTTGTCAGATGTGGGAGAGGTCAACAGTTTTAGTCAAAACCAATTGGGCGTACAAAATGGAGTCATACTTTGGTGATGGGCGCCTCCAGGGGCAGCGACGTCAGCTTGGCCAGGCTGGTGCGACGCAGTCCGTCGGACGCAATGGAGCGCACATCGAAGCTGCAGCGACGCACCGAGTGCAGAGAACCGCGCGGCGCCTCCTTTGGCTGCGGCAGCGTGGCAATGAAGTCCATACCGCCGCCGGGTATGTCAAAGTTGAAAATCAGATGGGTGGGCGCACTGCCGATTAACAGAGAGCGAGACAGAGAGAGAGAGAGACAGATTAAAGAGATTATAAGTCTGAGAAGATTGGAAGAATGCACTTACCTGCCAATGCAGGCCACGGGCACGACACGCACGTGCATGGGTATGCCCTCCTGATTCTTGCGACGGACCGTCAGTATGCCATCAAACTCCTTGATGCTCTTGCCCTGCTCACTGATGGTGGACAGGTCCGAGACGAAGATGTCGGCTAATGGCTTGCTAATTATTTCATCCTGTTTTGTGGGGGGTGGGGCATGGGAATAGAGAAATCTCATTAATGCCCGCAATCGCACGTCGGCATGGCACGGATGAGTCACTCACCAGCCGCATGTTGAGCAGCCGTTCGGTGGCCCGGTTGGCATACTGTATGCGCAGCACGTCGTCCGTGATGAGCACCACCTCCTTCAGCCGGTGCAGGGCCGTGTATAGTGCCTGTGGGTAGGGTGCGGCAGTGGAGCGCAAGAGCAAGAGGCAGGCTTGTGGTTTACATTTACAATTTGATTAAAGCGCCAGCAACGTGGTGGTCGCCACTTGCGCCATTTAATTGAATTAATGCAACCGGGACAGCTGCAGCCTGTAGAGCTGGCCCCCGGGCAGAGCATTAACTCGATTGCGTATTGCGTTTACCTGTTGAGTGGACATAACATTATGCGGTCTTATGATCGAGTGCAGTATCTGCTTCAGTTCCACGCTGCACATCGCCAGGTTGGTCGTCTCGGCTATGCACTGTAACATGTAACAGGAACGGGAACGGAATCGGGAACGGTCACGGGAGCAGGCGTAGTGAGTGCAAAAGAAACTTGTTTCAATGCGAGCCAAAGACGTGAGCCATTCAATTGGTAACTTACTCTATTAACGCCAGCGTCCAATAGAGCAATTAGCGCATCATCCTTTTCAAAGAAACTAAAAGAAGAGACATTAAGCAAGTGGCTCCAGTTGGATCAAGTAAAAGCTGAACCTACCTCTTCTTGCAGACGGCAATTATTGTCGTTAAATGATGTCCATGTGTGTGACGTATTGTTCTAATGGGCAGTGCGAAATGGGAAACGGGAAATCAATTTAAGTGATAAGTTTGAGTAAAGTTTTTGCTGCTGTTTTTGCGACATCACGTATACGCAATGTTGTGCAGAACTTACCTTGCAATGTGCTCGGAATCGAGACCTTTTGTGGAGCGCGCATCAATTATAATTAAATGATAGCATTGCGCTGTGGCATATGACTTGTGCAGGGTTTCGAGGGCTTCCTCTTTGGATTTAACCAGCGTTGCGTCCAATTGATGGCGCTGGCAGGCCAAGGTGACCACCTCGCAGATGCTATCCGATTTGTGAAAAACTAAAAGCGCCTGCGGGTGAATTGACATTCGGATTGGGAATTAGTCAAATTGGACAGGAAAGCGAACGGGCAAACGGGCGAGCGAGCGACCGGGCTGGTTTGCTGGCACGTGTCAGCTTACCTTAAGTTGAGGATTCGGTGGTAGCACGGTTGGATATTTCAAGTCCATGAGATTTCGCTGCAACACAAGTCAAAAACAGGTGAGCAAGAGGTGAGCAGGTGAAGCAACGTGTAAAATTTAATAAAAATCTACAGCGCTGGCTTTGCCATCAAAATAAGAGGGCTTAACTCGGCTTCTGTCTGTGTCGTGTCAGTTTACGAGTGTGCGTGTGCGTGTGCGTGTGTATCTGTGTGTGTGTATGACTGTGTGTTTCTATGTGTGCGTGTGTGTGTGTGTTTGTCTCGCACAATATGCGTAACGTGTATGTGTCGCTAAAATGATGATAAATTAAAATAAAATTGCTTGTGCCCCACGGAAATTTGCCGTATTGGTGACTTGGCCTGCAGATTTATTATGCTCGCATGAATAAATGCGATATGTGAAAATCAGGGATTTAAAACACACACACACACAAAGACAGGCACACACACACACAATGACATACGTTGGGATAAAATACAACTGCGTAGCTCAGTAATGAAAACACATGTCGACATCAAAAGGAACCAAATTCGAAAACTATTTATAACCATCTTTTGGATATACAACTGCCATTCGTTGATTTAAAAATCGATATTCATAAATTGCGCATAATCAAACACTGAGAATAACTTTGGATTTAGCAGGCCACCTTTAAGTAATTCATTTTGCGTTGCAAAAACAATTTCGATGCAAAAGTAATTTCTTGCAATTTACGTTTAAAATTAACTTCCAGCTAAATTGGCAACATTATTGATTCTGGAGTTTTTCCACATGAAGTTTTTACACAAACAACAACAATTGATTGGGGTAATGTATTTTCCATAATTTATTTTCACTAAATATGGAAAAACAATAAGTGAAGTTTTCGTCACATTTTGTTTAGGGAGCTCTTGAATGTGTGAACTAAGGAAGTAGAGATTGTGGCAGGTTCTTTCTGGCTGGTTCTTCCGTGAGACCAGTTCTTGATTATTGTAGGTCTTTAATTGAAGTAAACGAATATATATTTTAAGTATGCAATAACTGGCTTTAATGCGTCTATAGATGGACAAAGGAATTTATAGATAGATAGACAAACAACTGCACAAAACCAATGTGCCCTGTTTTTGCAGCAGATGCAAAAATTTGCCGTTTCATTGTAGAGAAATGCTTTTCAATTAACTTACAAATTACCTACTGAAGAAAACAATTAAATAATTTTTGATAAATGTTCAATTAACTGTTAACTAATTGCTGAAACTTGTTTGAACATCATGAATTCCTTTCGAGTTTCGAAATGCTCTTAAGTCTCAGATGAAGTGGAACAGAAATAAATCTCAACTTACAAATGTAATTGGAGAACTCCCTTTCTTCTATATGTAGCCTATAGTTTCGAGGTCTTTCAAAATACCTACGTAAGGTTTTTTTCCAAAAATAAATAACTGACGTATTAATAGAAATCATAAGAATTTGCCATATACATATATAAATTTATATGAATCAATGTCGGTAATTGCCCGAAGCGTTAAAGCTTTTGATGATTTCCGGAATTGGTAACATCAATCAATTACGTTTTCGTCAATTTGAATCATGGACAAAGTCGAAATCGAGCTCTGATAATGGCAATGACAATTTTAAAGGTTCTCTTTGTTGTTGTGGCGAGCTATCTTTCGCGGGGCTATCAATTGATAAATAATAGAGTCGGAAATTTTCTTGCTGCCAAGCTGTCCCAATTACAATAATGCCTGTCAGCCAAATACCTGAAATGTTTTAAACTCATCCTCTTCGCTCTGCGGCGACGGCTTCTTGCCGTTGCCCACCCAAAGACGCAGCTTCGGTCCCTTGTGCAGACGCCGCTCGTACAGGCTGTGGCACTGCCGATCAAATCCGCAACTCTTGGAACGCAGCGGCGGCCCATCCTTGTCCTCCTGTTGCTGCGCTGTCAGCTTGATTCTATCTTCCAGCGTGAGGTTGTTCAGCCGCAATGCCTGAGTGTCCAGATTGCGTATGGCCTCGACTATTTCCGGCTGCATAATACGTCCGACTCCGCTGCCAGCGCCAACTGAGCTGCCGCCGCCGCTGCCGTTGCTGCTGCCACCGAAGGCCATGCTCAATGACCTTGTATTGCGCAGCAACGGCGTCATTATATCCCTGCCCTCGGCCGCCTCATTTGCCTCGTACTCCAATTCCATTTGCTCGGGCGTCTTGCTGGAGTTGCCTGGCAACGACACGGGCCCTGGGACTGGCGCTGGCAACGGAGCGGCCCCTGGAACAACGCCAGCTATCTTCATTTCCGAGGTCGGATTTGTTTCAAGCACTGGACGGATGCTGCCATTTGACGCTGTTGTCCGGCTATTGCGGCTGTTGTTGCTCTGCTCCAAATCCCAGCTATTAGGCAAAGTTGTGCTGACAGCGCTTATCAGCCGGCTCTTATCGACGTCATCAGCACACGACGTTGTCGTCGTCGTCGTCGCTGTGGCTGGTGCCCGTTGCAGCTTTTTATTGTCATTATCGAGCTGTTGATCAGTAGTCGTCGTCACAGTGCTCGTTGTTGTTGTTGTTTTTCTAGCTGCTGTTGCTTTCGCAATGATATAGCGCTCCGTATCGGCGTTCGTCTCCAACTCATTTGAATGGGCGGCCGCGGCTCTCGCTGACGACGCCGACGACGACGACGATGATTTGGTGCGAAAAATTTTTGGCAAACAATTGCGCATTCTGCTAATTATACAATAACACTCACAGCGCTAAGCTACTTCACAATATCAATATCAACGACAACAACAACAAAAGAACACTTGACTTTCGCTTCTCAAACTCAATGCTCAACAAAATGTCCTTCTATGCCACCAGAGGCAACAATTGCAGAGCGCTTGCGTAAGCAGGCACAGCGGAGCACATATTCAAAAATCCAACAAAACCAAAAAAAATGTGATATGAAAAGATTTCCACTGATCAAATTGAGATTTAATTAATCCAGTCGAACGAGTCTGCTCGTATATGGGCCACTGGCGGAGTCGTGAGCTAGGTCTGCGATGTGTCTAGAAATTGAATATTTCACTGGTTTTGCGGTCGAAACGCGACTGACTGACTGAGTCAATTGGCCCGACAGTGGGGCGACAGCTACGAGTAGCTGGCAAAGCGGCGGGTTAATCTATTTCTTTACTTTTTGATTTCCCACCTTCAATGTTAATTGATTTGATTTCTCTGGCGGCACATTGTTTATGTGCGACACACACACACACACACGCACACCTGAGCGTTGTGCTCTTTTTTACATACATACACACACACACACACACTCGGTCGCGCGCGTTCAATTCTCAGTCAGTGTAAATGAGCGGCTATTTAAAGAAGCGCAGCTGAGCAAAATGTAAAGCAAAAAAGCAAAAAAAGAAAAGAAAAAGGCAAGAAAAAACTTTGGCGAGAGCTTCCATCATATAACGCGCTCTGATAAGATATCTTATCAAAGACGTAACACACATGTGCGTTGCGCTCGACAAAATGCCCAACCGAAAGCGCTGGCCCGGGGCCAGGCGAAACAAAGGTGGCCGAAATAAAAAAACCAAAATGAATAAGAACAAAAAATGTGTAATCAGCATCACAGATAAATGCGCTCACCTGATACACGTCCATTGACTCATCCTCGGGCGTCAGTGCCAGCGCCAGCGAGGACTTGCGGTGACCAGGACGACCGTTGCCGCCGCCGCCACCAGAGGAGCTGGTGCCCGATGTGCCGGTGCCTGCAAAGACGGCAAAGACAAACAATAAATGCCAAATGCTTCAGACGGGTGTGCAATAAAAGTTTTGCGCTGAAAAGCATGCTACATTTTTGTGTGCCCGACGGCAAATGTGTTGCCTACTTTTAGATCGCCGCACGCACACACACGCACAGCCAAAGAGATACAGTGAGAGAGCGGGAGAAAGAGAGAGAGAGAGAGAGAGAGTGGGCAGCAGACGCATGCCGCCCATTCATATCTTCCGTCGTCTAGTCGCACGTTTTATTTAATTATAAGCGTTCGCATTTCACAAAACACTTTATAACAGGCACACGCACGTTTAGCCCACGCCCCCCCAGCCGCACAACAGCAGCTCCCTTATACCGCCCCACGGTCATATTAAGACAATCCGCTTACCCACAAGCAGCTCGGACTCGGAGGCCGGACGCGTTAATGAAGCTCTGCTTGTTATAGTTGTTCGTGTTGTTGTTGCTGCTGCTGCTGTTGTTGTTGTTGTTGTTATGGCTGGTGTTGTGGGTGTTGTTGTTGTAGCTGCTGCTGTTGTTGTTGCTGTTGTTGTTGTAGCTGTTGCTGCTGTTGTTGTTGTTCCTGTTTCTGCCTCCACGGCGTGCATTTGTCTGGCCGCCCTGCCCATCATTAGTGCGGCCGCACCCGCACCCGGACCCGCCCCCACGCTCGCACCCACACAATTGCAATCGCTCTCAACGCCTTCCTCGCTGATGTGGGCCGACGACGATGTCCCGGACAGATTCGCTGGCTGGCTAGATATAATCATGGCGCGGCTTTTAGTTGTTGCCTTTGGCGATGCCGTCGCCGTGCGTTGTTTGTGTTTTCTTTACTTTTTACTTTGTTGTTGTTGTTGTTTTTTTTCTTGGTATTTTCCGTATTTTTATTTCGCTGACTTTGCAAATTAACTACAAATATTCAACATAATTATCGCTTTTGATTATTTTCGTGGCACTATGTTAATTTGTCATTTATTTTGTTGCTGTTGTAGCTGGCCCAGCTGCCCCGGCTACCCGGCTGCCCCGGCTGCCCGGCTGTTTATCTGGCTGTGCTGGCATTGATTTCAAACAATTAGTGCGTAATGATAACCTGCTCCACATGCATAACTGTGTGTGCTTGAGAGTATCTATGAGTATTTATGAACAAAAATAGCCCTGAAACATAAACATGCGGAACTGAGCTGCCAGTACCCAACCTATATCATTTCATATATATACATATAATATATAATATATATATATTTATATATGTATAGGTATGTACTCGCAGTTATGTATATATAGAGAAAATATTTGCGTATATTCAAATAAATACACGCTGCGTGTCTGCCTGCCTGGCTGGCCTGTGTGTATCTTATCGTTGTTAGCGTCCGCCTGCCTCAGTTGCGCTGGCTAGCGGTACGCGTTGTAATCTAAACGAAAATCGATAAATTGTTTAGATAAAAGCCACAGCAGCAGCAGCAGCAGCAACAGCAGCAGCAGCCGACCGACCGACCGCTGACGTCGCTAGCCATAAGCAACAGGGTTTGGTTTTGGCTTAGGCTTGCGACGAGGCCATGCTCAGATACTCTATGGCCATGTTGAATTTTCAGTTGAATCCCAACTATTTCAAGCACACACACACACACGTACACGGGGGTACTTAAACCTATGGCGTCTCTCCTCTGGCGGCTGCAGAAATGGCGCCAATGAAAGTGGCTGCAAATACTTACAATACTTGCTCACATTAAGGTTCATGTTACACACGGACACACACCGCTCGCAACAGTTGCTGGCTCATTAGTGTGTAAAGTGTACACACAAGTTGGCGGCGGTGGGCAGGGGGGAGGGTTGGAAGTGAAGGTGCGCTTGATTTTGATCGATTAGCACTTGGCTTATTTACGAGTATGCAACATGGCCGCAACGGCGACGACGCTGTGCAAACACACTGCAGGCTATATTAAAATTTAACTGCTCGACAAACAGGAGCACGGTTACGACTACGGATGGCGTTATTTGCCAAACAAACGGAATGAAACGCAACGCAAAGCAACCGCCGCAACTTTAATGAAACTCAAATTGTTGTTATTCAAAGTTCAATTATGAAGCCGTCGCAACGGGCAACGGGCAACTGGCAATTGGTAACTGGCAACTGGTAACTGGCAACTGGATGGCACTGACTAGACCAGGCCACTGCGCAACGTCCGCACTAATCCGTTATGAAAAACTGTTTGCCAGATGATAATTCTCGCACGGATTCTGAAACTGCCAGCGAACGCGTTGCGCTCTACACACCAAACCGTCGGCCACTTGGCCTTATCCATTTCGCTGTTGCTAAGAATAATTTCGCGTTAACTTGTCCTTAAACTCGTCTAATTGGACTTATTGCAAACGCAAATCCAATTAGGAATTGCAAGCGGGCGTGCAGAGTTTTACTCGAAATAGAGAATTGATGAGAATTGAATAAGCCTTTAAGAAATTAATATTTGCTTGGATTCAAAGCTAAATCGTACTAAATCGATAACTTTTTGTTCTGATAATCCAAGCTGGTCTGCAAAATCTGTAATACCCCAAGCAAGAGTATAAATTTATTATGTCTGTGTATCAATGAGTGCATAATAATAACTTCTCCTTGGGTAGAGATTATGTTTGTTTAACAAACTGCCTAAATTATGTTGCGTAAAAAATATGTATATAAATAATTGAAAGCCATCCAATTACTCAGGTATTGCAAATTGATTTTCAATGAATTTTGTGCCCAACAAATTTCTAGGAATTTCAGTAATTTGTGGCGCAGCTTCAGAGAAATAAATTTCTTTGATTTTGTGACCCAACAGCATATATATTTTTTTATGTTTAAGCGCTTCGCCAACAATAACAATTGTTGATAATAATGCGAAAAGGCATAAGGCATTATGCTGCTTTATTTGGAATTATAAAAATGTAATTAATGTACGATAAATTGCAATTTGTTGTGACTTTAGTTTATTATTCTTGCACACAAAGTTAAATTCTTTGTCAATCGATTTGAACAACCTTCAGTTATTATTGCTAAGACGTGATTTTTTAAGGCTTTAACATCCGCTGCAAATCGGGTAAATATTTTCTTGCGCAAGGCACAAAAAGAACTAAACAAAAATATTTACTAACAATTTCCGTTTCAATACGTTACGAAAAATTGTTCACAATATTAAAAAAATTCAAGTCGAACGAACGAGAATCAAGACATGAAACTATTTGTTATTGTTTTTTCGTTTGGTGTTCAAAGAATCGAAACGTTTCAATCTCAAATTTAAATAAAAGGTCGGCTCTTATTTTGAAAATATTTCTCTCTTTTTAAGCTGCTAGAATCCTAAGTTTAGAAGAGTTTTGATTTTGATATTTTTTGAAAATAAATAATATTGCTGCAGAGCATTGTCGGGATGACATTAGCCGGTCTTTGGCTGAGAGTGTCTTTTGCGCCTTGTTTGTTGTCATGACAACCAATTAATTTTTGATAAGATAATATCAGGCGAGTTTGCTCATAGTATTCAGATGTTTAGGCCCCCGTACACACAGAGATACGGATACTGAAACACAGGCGTATAATGCGTTTTCGGAGCACACAGGCACATAGACAAAAAGACACACAGATACAAATATATAATCAAGTAGAAAACAAAGCCCGTGCACAATCTACATCTGCTAGTTGGACAGAGAGAGAGAGAGAGAGAGAAAGAGAGGTAGAGTGAGAGGGCGTGTGCTGGTTAGTATACGACTTAGTTGGCCTGCTTCTGGGCACGTTGCTCATGTTTTGCCCGGACCCGAAATGCGAAACCTACCCCCGAGGCTTTATCTATCCAGCGGCGATCATCGCCGCTGATAGTTGATGATAGTGGGCATGGACATGTCGCCAAGTCCAGTGTCGCCTCATATTGACACTAGCGGACAGTTGGTGAAAAATGTCGCTTTCACTCCCGGCGAACGGGCCGCTGTCTGCGCATTAATCTAATCTCTGGAACTGGCAGAGTAGTATATGTACATATATGTATGTATGTACATATATTTGTGAAAAGCTTCACGTGGCTTTCGGGAGCAGTGGCAATGTACTCTGTCTGCTAAATGTAAACAACAGCAACAAAATCCGATTTTAATGCGACAACTTGCACGGCACAAGTGCACAGAGATTTACGCCAACTACTTAAAGGGCGTAATCAGTTCAATTCAATTCAGTTCAATTCAATTTGATTCAATTGAGCTCAATTCTACGCGATAGCGGCAGAGAGTGAGAGCGAGACAGATCGAGTCAGAGATAGAGAGAGTGAGCGAGAGGAGAGAGCAATTAATGTGAAACATTGATAAATTGCAGCATACTGATCGCGCGCAGTCGCCAGTTGACACCTGCCCATGGCAGCTGCTGGCAGGCGGGGATTAGGCGCACATAATGTATCGAATGTATTGGCCACAGTGCATTTCAGTTTCAGTTTCAGTTTGTTTTTGTTTTCGTTTCTCTTGTTAGTTTGCTTTGCCGTTGCTCTGCCCGTTGCTTTTGTGTATTTTGCTTTGATTGATGTTTTGGCGCCATTGCGTGGGCGTCCGCTCGATTGTTATTGTTTAGAGCCGATCGTCGATCGTCTTTCGGGACGCTCTGGCAACGCCATCGAGCATCGATGCGTGCGTCTGACTGTGTGCGGTTGTGTGTGTGTGTGTGTGTGTGTGTGTGTGTGTGTGTATGTGTGTTTGGGTGTGAATGTTGCCATCTAAAAAGATCGTCACAGTCGCGTGTAAAGTAAACCCGATTGTCATGTGAATCTTTTTTATCTCTGAGTAAAAAATTAATAAACTAAAAAATGTGCGAGTGTGCGTGTGTGTGTGTGTTTGTTTGGCTGTTTTATAAATATGCACAGAATTTATATAAGCTTATTTTTTATTTTGTTGTTATTTTTTTGTATTTTAATTTGTTGTTGTGTTTTGATCTCATTAGCTGGTATTTGCATTAATGGTGCGCTTTGGGTCGTTAGCCGTTGGCCGTTAGCTGCCAGTTTGTTTGACAGCCCCAACATGTTAATGAGTGTTGGACACACACACACACACACTTACACACACATTCGGCAAGTGCAGTGTGCATAAAAGCAAACGCAGCCAAATTCAAGAATGAAAACGCACGCAAAAGCACAGCCAGATACACGAACGCAGATACAGATACAGATACAGACACAGCTACAGCCATCACATATAGATACATATATACATACAAAAACACACACACGCAGGCACACATACGGCTGGAGATTGCTAGACAAATCGTATTCTCCACGCTTCTTCTAGCTACTAGCACAGTTACTTGTTGTATTTGTTGTTGTTTTTGTTATTGGCACACTTAGTTGTGAAGTTTATTTTGAATTTTAACACTTTTCGATCTTGTGTATAAATTGTTGCTATATTTTATTTGATTTTTTCTTATTTTTTTTTTATTTCTTCTTTCGGTTTTTGTTGTATTTATTTTATTTTGGCTTGCTATGCGGCGGCCGAGCTGTTTTTTTCCACACACGTCCACCAATTGCAGCGATCTTTCAGATACTTTTTGTGTGTCACACAGTGCGTTGTTGTTGTTGTTGTTGTCGTTAGTGTCATAAGCTTTAATTGCGTTCGATTTTGGTTCTCAACTGGTTGGCCCTGGCTAATACGCGTTGCAATCACTTGCACGGATTTTCTTGCCAAATTTGTGCCGTCGCATTAGGCCACTGCAACAGAGCGAGTAGAACCAGCGACTGCAGGCAGCGACTGCTACTGCTACTGCTGTTGCTGCTGCAACTTTTGCTGCTGCTGCTGCTGGCGACCAGTTGGCGACACGCCCGCGAATCGCGCCCGCTGCATTTGTATCAGACTCTCAAGCTGAATCTGAATGTAAATTTAAATTTGAACGCCTTCACCTTCTGCCGCCTCGATTTGCATAACGAGCGAGTCGGGCGAAGCCCAAATATGTATGTCGATTACAGTGTATTGTGTATTATCGTATCGTATATATTATTATTATTATTATATGCGGTGTGTAGTATATTGTGTGCAACGCAGCAGACACGGCCACCGAATCCGAATCCGAGTCCGCATCCGAATCCAAAACCAAATCCAATCTACTCAGAGGCAAAGACAGACCTTTGGTGAGTGCAAACGTCCCGTTACGAAAGCGTTTAACAACCGACACGGCGAACCAATTCAATGCGACTGACTCCATAAATGGCGAGCAGCTGTTGCGAGTGCGAGCTCTGATCCGACTTCGTCGGCCCCGGCGGGCGGCAGGTGCGACGGCGGGGGAGGCACAGTCACAGTCACCTTTGCAGAGCGAGCACCGATAGACACCGTGACTCTCGGCGCTTGGCGTTCGGCGCTCGGCGATCGCCGCTGAGCGCGATCAAGTTTCATGCGAAAGCGCATTCATAATCTCCGCCATTCTCTCGGCTGCGCTGCGTCTCCCGCTCTTTGGACAGCAGCTGTGGCTGTGGCTGTGGTTCTGCCGATCTGGCTACCGTCTGGGTCTGGCGCGCCATTGATATGCGAAGCTCAGGCCCAAGCTCTGGGCAAGCCGTTAATTGGAGTCGACAGAAAAACAGCTGCACCTGGTTAACAGAGAGAGCTACGCTAGCGCCAGCTGACTTCTCGCAGATCGTATTACTTCCATCCGTACAGCCGCCCTTAGCTTTAATCAAGTCAGCTGTCCGAGCCACACCGCAGCTTTGATGCCCTTAATTTTTTTTGTGCTGCTTTCGTACAATGAAAGTCTACCTCACCGTGAGGCCTTTCGTCATAATTCAGCGGGCGATAAGAGAATTTTCTATGAAACTAATGCGGTTTTTTATTTTCTCGATTGCAGGCAGTCCACAAAATATGGATATACATAATCTTTAACCCGCAACAATTTTTCGGTAAGTCGTAAATAAATATTATAATTATTGATATTATTATTATTATAATTATTTTTGACCATTTATTTGAATTATATTTTGTTTATTATATTAATATGAATTGAGGCATTTACTGAGAATATTCAACTTCAATATTTACCAACACTGGTTAAACTCTTTTTATACAATATTTCACACTCTAGTCACAACAGTATTGCACAGCTTTAAATCAATTTCTGCACTCACTTAAGGCACACATAAGATTTATTTCCCATCATCATATGTTTTTACCTTGATATGCTTTTTAGTTGAAGCTATGCTATTTGTTTGTGTGTTAGATGGGGGTTTTTTATAGAGTGGTACTTACTGCCCGTTCCGGTTGCACGTCGCACAACGCTGTGTGTAAAGTTGCCCAAGGCTGCCACCGTCACAATGGAATCCTTTTTGCCAGTGCTGAGCTGCAGGCGAGGATTAAGATAGACGCAGTTCAATTGGTCGGCGGTATTCTGTGTGGGGAGGGGGAGGGGGGAGGAGGAAACGGATGTGGCAGCTGGGACTGACGCACACGCACACCCACACTCACCTTCTCGTAGTCAGACTCGTTTTTGGTCTGCAGCGGATTTAGCAGACCCTGGTTGCACATCATGTTATCGCCGCAGGTGGCACTGCCCGTGCTGCCGTCCCCGTTCTGATTCTGCAGTGTGACGGCGCCACAGCTGCAGCGGCGCATGCGGCTTCGCCGCAACTTGATGCAGAACAGAAGGCTGCCATCCTTCTCATTGCCATCCAATGGCAAGTTGGCATTGCCACCGTTTCCGCCACCCGGCGCCGCTGCTGTCGACGACGACGAGTTGGGCAATGTGCTCGGCGAGCAGCCCATGGCGTTGTCCTGTTTCCTGTGCTCCTCCTGCTACTGCTACTGCTTCTACTTCTGCTCCTGTTCCCGCTACCCTTGTTGCTATGGGTATGCTAATTTGCTGTCGGTTTCGGTTTGGTTTTGGTCGCTGTTTGATTTGGTTCTTAAGTTTCAATGGAGCTGCCGAGTGTTGGATGTTGCTACTGCTACTGCTACTGCTGCTGCTGCTGCTGCTGCCTCCACTTGTGTTGCTGCTTAAGCTGTGGCTTTGGGTGCTGGCACTGAGAATGCTGCTTCTAGTATTTGGCTGCTGCTGTTGTGGTTGTGTGGTTGTTGCGGGTAACATAATTGAACCATTTTTTTGGGTTTGCGCGTCAAGCGGCGATCAATTGACTGGCTGATTGGCCGGCTTTCCGCTTACATCTCGAGCAGCTAAAAAATATAAAGAAAATAGAAAAAAGACAATATAAATATAAATATAGATAAATAGAGCACAGTAGCATGAATAGTCAAGTTTTTGGCGTTCGAATTGTGCCCCGCCCGTGTTTGCGATACATTTCTGCTGCTGTTTTAATAAATAAATTGTTGACCTCCATTTTCGCTGTCCAAGTCGGTTTTGCTGAGCTGTCGTCTGCATTTGAGGCAACTAAATAACTAATCTTGCAATCAGCTGGAACAGTTGGAGTTTAGACCCTAAAACCTGTTTGGCGCCAGCTATGAAAAGCGATCGGCTGGGTGAACAACTCGGGCAACAAACAACAATTAAGATTAGCTACATGATCATCATAAATCATCGCAAATTGAGTAAATCAATTCATCAATGGTTCTTTTTATATGCATTTATACGCGCTCATATAATTTTTAAATATATGGCCAAGCTGGGGCTGGCTAACACAAATTGATGATTATCGAGCCTGTTCCAGTTATTCTGGTTTGTTTCAGAATCATTTTCTCATTTCTCAATTTAATTTTAAACTGTTTTATAAAGAGAAAATTAAGCACAGCTGCAGGCAATATAAATATTTCATTTCCGCACAGCATTTCTTTATGTTCTGGTCACACTTTAAATGCATATCAAATTCTAATTCCAATATTTTCAATTTAAAAACCATTACCGTGACTTTCTAGTTTTGATTAACCATGCAGTTGCGCTGACATTGATCTAAATCGGGGATTTTTCTATTGCTTTCGAGCCACCTTAGATATAATAATTTAGCGTTTAATATAGCTATTAAAATGGATGAGAGTGCTCGACGTTGAGATACTCTAGAGATACTTTAAATTGATGATAGAAGAGTCGGCCACAATAGCGGCCACAATAGGGAAAAAGAAAGATACATTTCTAAAAAATTAAAGTCTTTTAAGTTTTACTTTAATCAGTGAGAATTGCATAGAAGGGCGATAGGCGTTTGAATGAATGAACTAAAGTGGCAAAGACAAATAAGTTATGCGCCTCAGTATTAAAGCAGAATGTGTGTTTTCAGTCTCTAAAATACGCACTTTTAAGCAGATATATGGACGAGGCTATATCGAGTCGTCGTAGGGCTAGGATAGGATCGAAGATTTAATTTATTGCATCAAATATTCTGCGTGTTAAAATTAGACCCCATCGATTTAATTCGCTGGGATTCAAATGAACAGAAGTTCTTCGCAGGAAATTAATCATGATAAAATAGATTATGTGGCTCGTGTGATAGAATATACATAAATAAACATATCTAATCGATAATATCAATAAATATATAATTATATATATATATAAATTGATATAGTTATGTGTATGCCTCTGATAGCTGCATTGCTATTAGATTAATGAGGAAGTTGCTTACGTTCTGCATGTCAAATAAACTAAAGCATTACAATTGGTAGCTGTAACAGCAGTTGAAAGCTTTGAGCGATCGGTTTTCAATGTCTCCAGTTTTCTATATTGTTATTATTTGTTTTTTTTTTGTTTTGTTATTTTCTTGATGAGGTACAAGTGCCTTTATCTAACTAGACGAAATACAAGCTCGAGACTGTTGACAAGTTAAAACCGAGAGCTCAGGTACAAGGTACATGGAGAAGTTTATTTGAATTTCGTTTTTTATCGTTCTGTATGGAAAGCTGAGCACCTGACAAGCGCCACCTGTGCGAGATGCATGTAATAGAATCACATTTTACCAATTTATATTCTTCAAAGTGTCTCGAATTGGGTCTCAGTTTCGTCTGAGTCTCGTTCAATTAGGCAGAGTCATAAGAATATTTGTTTTTTAGCCCGCATGTCCTTCAGACTTGCATTTATTTCTAGCATTTCATTAGTCAGTTTTAGAGAACACGTAATTTCTTGTTGATAAAAAGCGAAGCTGAATTTATACCTCGTTGTTTAAATTCAGTTTATATTTCTTCTGTTTGGCAAAGAAACCAGATCCGTAGACGTAGCCAGCTGGGCGTAGCTATAAAATCGAGCACCTTAGTACTCAGTGTATCGAACGGTAGACGGGCTTTATTGTTATTATTACTGATACTGATAAGTATGTATGGTAAGTAGCTTCAGTTTCGATTTCGTGTTCGGTTTCGGTTTCATTGACAAGCAGCACAAATATTGCGGGCGAGACAATTAAAAAATGCCAAAACTTGTCAGCGGGCTAATAAATTCATAAAAAGCCCAATATTGGCAATGATTATTGAAGCCAAGGTATTGGCGCATTGGGAAACCCGCTCGCATACGAGCTACGTGCCCGACCCGCAAAAGCATAAATCAGTAATGCAACCAGATGAAGAAAACATATTGGAGGCTAATGCAACCCCATTAAAATGGTCAACGGCTTGTGGGCTCAGTTTGCCCACAAAACATGAAGTTGGTCGGACCCAAAAGTTTTTGCAAGCGAGCGGACAGTGAAATTTGATAGCCAAGTGAAATGTGCGTAGGTGACCCTTTGGAGGCACGTTTACGCATATTCACACGCGTCCGTATCCGAACAATTGGGGGATTTGGATGGACAGCTCGTAGTTTTTACTTATGCCAACTTCGTTGGCGTTGTTTGCGGCTTTGTTTAATGGCTTTCTGGCTGTGACGTCGCGTTGGCGCGGGGCCGCTTTATCATTTGCGACACAAATAGAAATACGAAATATGCCTCATCGACGGGGCGAAAGCAATTTTAAATATTTAGATAAAACTCGAACGAAAGCGAAAGAACCAAATCAACTGATATGGGAACCCAAAAAACACTTTAGATTAGCAACGGCCCCAACGTCGACCTATTTCAAATTTACGAAACATTCGCACAGTGCCTGCTGTACGTGTTCGCCTTGCAGTTTGGAGCACAACGTGTCTGGCCGAGGGGGGCAACATGAGAGGGGACGAGGGGGAGGGGGAGGGAGGATGTCTGCTTTTTGTATCATTGAGTGGATATGCGAGCTGCTGTTGCTTTATATCCTGCACTTGATTGGGCGCCGGCAGTGCACGACGTTGATTGACTAACCAAAGGGATGTATATACACAGTGTATCTGTCCGTAAGGATGCACAACATTTGGGCCCACTTGTTGACATCGCCAACAAGCCAGGGCTGTCTTTCCGTCTGTCTGTCTGTCTGGCTGACTGCCTGCCTGCCTGCCTGCCTGTTTGTGTTTGTCAGCTCGTATTGTTGGCCAAAAACAAAGGCGTCACAACAAGACACAAACTAGACAGACAGCGTCAACAACACCAGCAGGCCCCAGTGCCAGGCGCGTCGAGACAATGGCCAGTCAATTCCAATGCTATAAGATCGAGAAAAAGCACACATATAATTATATATATACTATATATAGTCTCTGTATGCATATGTATGAAGATGCTCTTGTATATAGAGCACAGCTCTTGTCCCAGTCTGTTTGTTGCTTTAAACAAATTATTTTTAGCACAGGCATAACTATTAAAAGAAAATTAATGATTTTTGCTTTTTTGCGCTTTCAAGTTGCATAAATAAGACAAACATGCTCTGTGTGTGGGTGGCCGTTGGCAACAAGGACAACCGCCCGATGCTATGCAACTTAAAACTAATCAAATCAACAGCACCAAATTCTATTAGCGCCAAAGGATGTGCCCGGGATGTGCAAGATTGCGGGCATGCGGGGCGTGCAGGTGGCTGCAGCTGGCAAGGCCCGGCCGAAGCATCTTGAGAGTCACGATGCCACCAAGGTGGCCATATGAAATGTGCTTTGCACGTTATTAGTATGCAGGTGGTAGTTGGTATTTGTATAATAGCATCATCAGGCGTGTGTGTTCCCGTGTTATTGTGTGTATGCGTGGCACTATATATATATATATATATATATATATATATATATTTATGTAGTGTATAATTGTGTGCGTACATCATGTATGGAGTGGCAGGCAGCCAGGCATCGCCATGTAGAGCGACAGGGGGCCATATCCATAGCCATATTCGAGCCAACTTGGCAACTGCGAGCGGCGCTGACAAAGAAACGAAAAACGCAGCCGACAGCAAAAAATTTTGTATCTAATAGTTTTTGCAAACTGATGTTTTGCAGCTGCTGCTGCTGCTGCTGCTGCTGCTGCGTTTTGTATTGTGTATTGTTTAATTACAAATGTATCGATACAAGTAGCTGCATATAGATACATGTGCTCATAGGCAGTAATATCTGGGCGCTGCGCACATTGTAGCGAATTTTTAATCGTGCGATTTATATGCTCTCTCCGAAATAGATAATTTTGGTGAAGCAGAGCCATAAGTTTCATTTATGATTGCTAAAAATTGATTAGCTCAAAATATAAACAACAAGCTTTAGCCGGACTCAGAGCCCGTCCGTGTGACGCCCTCCGTTTAGGCCTGGGTTCAATGTATGTGCATTACGGCAATTAATTTGAATATTTGTGACGAAAATGCATTAAACGGGACATTTAAATACATATTAATGAGTATTTAATTTAATTTGTATCATTATTTAATTCGCCCATTGCCGTTTGACTTAAAAATAAGTATAAATAACAAGGTACACAAATCCGATTCGAATTGGAATTATAAAAGTCGTGTTCCGCCTTGAAATATTCTCCGATGCAGTTTATTCTTCTGGCTAATCAACTTATTTTGCAACAAATTAATTTTCCGCACAGTAAAGTTAATAATAAATAATGCGATGAAATAAATTAAATTAATGCGCATAGAGATAGCAAGAGAAAGGGGGAAGAAGCGCAAGTGAATTATTTTCTATAAACAAATCATGTGTGTTTAGTATAACAATCTGTTGTCTATATACAAACAATAATCGGGTTAAACAATTTACTTTTATCAATTTGTTTTGCGCCTCATATCCGTAAACGTTGCACTGACACCTTGTCAAACTTCTACGTAAACAAACTAATCAAGTTGACACTAAAAACCTTTCATTAAACCCACTTCAAGTTTTATTGTAAGCTTTAAAACTAGCTCGAAAATCCATAAATATAAAATTTTACTGCTAAGCGCTTTAACTATTTCCACTGAGAACATATTTATTTATTTATTTGTTTATTTTCATTTTATATTATTGTTGTTTTTAACTGGGCCTTAAAGCTGGCTTGCATAATTTAATTTTGCCATAATATCTGCGCTGCCTGCTTCAGATTTAACCTGGCAAATGAAAGCTTGTGATATAACAAAAAGATCAAATAATTCAACGGAATTGAAGTTGAGAATAATCAAATACTTGGTTGCATAACTTTGTGATTATTTCTATTGCAATTGGGATATCGTATTCGCCAGTTACGTGTTATTGGGGGGAGAAATAGTTTTATTGTTCAGAATATTGTTTTTAGAATACATAAATGTATCTACTGCAAAGGCAATCCAAATGCGTGTAATTGTAAAAAAAGAAATTAATTTTGTGTGCACACCTAATTAATGTATTTGTATTTTTAGTAGCTTCAATTTTCCGGCAAGGAAAATGGCAAGCAAATCAGTTAGACGACATTTTGTTCGCTGCGTGGGCTGTCTGCATGTGTGTGTGTGTGTTTGAGTGTGCGTGTGTGTGTGTGTGTGTGAGGTGAGAGTGTACGCCCTTCGGTGGCCACCGAGAATATCTCGTTCTTGGCTTGTGCGTCAGAGATATGTCAGCTGCAGACATATTTACATCATCGCCCTTGAGATGAGACGACAAATGGCGGCCCCCGAAAAGCTAATCGCTTACAAGCGAAATGCTGCCCCATTTGATAATGGATCTGGTTAGACAGATATATGGCACTATCGTATATATATATATATATACTATCGTATGAGGTAAAGTGAATGTTGTGCGCAAATTGAAACCACATTTGTTAGGCAGCAAATGTTGTTGAAAGAGTTTTCGCTACTCTGGAATTAGCATTTCAAATGCCGATCTAAACTGGAAGATAATGGCAAAAGTGTCGTCCATTACGAGGCGTCTAGAAAGTGGCTAACAATATGCGAGCACAATAAATCGCAATACCGGAATGCCCAGACATATGTATGCATATAATAAATGTACCTACTACTTATATATGTATATAGTATAGGGTATAGAGTATATAGTATAGAGTATGGACAAGTGGGTGTTATGCCTATTACTATACGTATATCTGGCTGCTCAATGGGCGGGCTGCTTAACATGCACATGTTGTGATGAGCGGTCGCTTGCATAACTGTAGTTACAAAATGCTCCAGTCGCCGTCCGAATATATACAGTGCGCACTGTAACCGATCGAAATCGGTTGAGTATCAAAATCAGTATGCGTTGGCACGGCTCAGTTTTATTTGCTGTAAACAATAACTACGCCACGCCAATTTCAATTTTAATAAACAGTTAAAATTGAGAATTAATTAAGAAAAACTCGAAAAATAAAATGAAGGCAAAATAAATAAACTACGCGAGGTGCCGGTCACTGATTGCGGGAGACAACGTATCGCATAGATAGTAAAAATCGAAATGGAACGAAGGCAAATTACTTAAAAATGGAAAAAAGTCAGACATTAGATAATCGCTGAAATGGGTCAGTACGACGATATTTGTATATATAATTCGTAAGAATAAATTTGTATAAAATACAAAAGAGCCAAAGCCAAAGCGAAACGAAACGAAACGAAATGAAACGCAACGCAAATTGCAAGTTGATTGTGGCTTGTTTATAAGTAAGAGGCGATATTTTTGCATTGTTTATTACGAGTATGGCTATGGCTATATAGGTCTAGGGATATAGGTGTGTGTACAGCCTAGGTGTATCTATGGGTGCAAATGTGAGTTTATAGCTAACTGGCATGAGCATGCGACAACTTTAAGCGTCTTTTAATGTGCTGCTGCCGCTGCTGTTGACAGAGACTCAGCCAGAGATGGAGACCGAGCCGTTCTGCTAGCTGACAGATACATATAGACATATACATATGCATATATATATATATGTTTGTATGTATATATGTGCAATGTTGAAAATGTGCGCGACGCCAGTCGCATGAAAATTGTCTACAGCTACCGAATATGCTTTTGATTTTAATTTTAATGTTTATTTCATTTTCGTTTTTTGTTTTTTTTTTTTGTTGTTTTAATTTCTTCTTTATATTTTTATTACTATTATTTTGCATGTCGTTTTTTCTCCCTCAATTTGTTTTTGGAGGGCATTTTTCGTATACTATGCGACAATGAGACAGCGACAAATTCAAGGCAAGTTGTACGCACATACTATATACATACATACATATATATATATATAAATATATATATATTTTATTAAAATTCATACTTGTGTAGTATTTGCAGCGCTGTGGCTCGCAAATGTTTGTGTAAATGCCACAGCATATTTATGAAGATACAAAATAAAAATTTATATAGAAAATAACAACAATAAACTAAAGCATGTACATATACAATAATACATTATCTGTTGACGTACCAAAAAGTAGTCGTTAAAGTTGTTGTTGCTTTTGCCTGTTGGCTGGTATTTTACTTATTATTTTAATATTTATATCAGACTCTAGATATAAATTAAACAAATACACATGAACAATGGGCACACATACGTAGACACACACACACACACACACGCACATATAGGCATACACATGCACATATCCATATGCATGTATCTATAGATACAGATTTATGTATGGATGTACATATGTATGCATAGATACTCGAATACTTCTTCGTGGAATATCGTCACAACAATAACAAAACATTTTTGTTGCTGCTCTTTCTTCACAAATTAGAATTTATTTTAATACACGGAGGTCACGTTCATAGCACGGAGGCAGCGGCGCCAGCAGCGCTGCTTGTTGCTCCTATTGTTGTTGTTGTTGACGCACAAGATATTGGAAGTGTGTTTGCGTGTGTGTGTGTGCGAGTGTGCACAAAGCTGCATAACTAAATTAAATGCATTAAGAATAATAACAGCATCAGCCGAAGTAACAACAACAGCTACAACAACAACAACAAGCACAACAACAACAACACGAGCAGCAGCAACAACTGCGAGCAGCGGCAGCAACAGCAGCAGCTACTGAAATGCAATCACAAATTGCGCTGTGACGTCACAAATGCGCCCAGCGATAATACAAACTGTGTATCTGCGGGATACAATTGGCTCACATTGTGGTTGCCTAATTTACAAGCGCACGCACACTATTCTAAACACAAACACACACACAGTCGCACACACGCACAAACAATAAATGCATACTCGTATTTTGGTTAGAACTGCGTAAGTTTTCTTTGCTTTATTTCAAGAACTTGTATGGAAAAAATATTCTTGCGCTGCGGCGACGGCTACCGGCGAGTTGTGACTGCGACTTGGAGATCTCGATCCACATCCACACGGACCGACGCGACGGCCACAGCAACAGCGACGACGACGGCGACGACGACGACGATTGCCTGTCAAAGCAAAACGTCAAACTGATTTCGCTCAGAGCTGCAAAGCGCGGCGCACCGCGTTACGATACGAAAACACAAAACAATACGAAAATAATAAAAGAAAAGAAAAACTAAAACAATCCGCGGGATACAAACGCGAGGCGAACGCACATCACGAGAAGTACAAGTCCGAGTACGAGCATGAGCATGAGCATGTGAATGAGTATATCAGTAGATACTGAACTTGCCAACGCCAATCGCCAGCGCCAGCGTGAGCGAGAGCGAGAGCGAAAGAAATCAAAGCAAAGCAATGCCAAGCAAGACACGCTGAGCGCCTCAGGGAGTGGGAGAGCGCGCACAGAAGAGCGCGTAAGCGGGAGAGCGCAAGGTGGCCTGTTGCTGGCGCTGAGCGCGTGAGCAGCCCACAAGTTGAAGCAATGAACGAGATCGTGCGTGAGAGACAGACGTGAGTGACCGAGCGCTTTGAGTTAACAGAGAGAGCACAGCTCGGTCAAGCACGTGGCACGTGACGCGATTGAGCGAGCAGAAGCGACGATCGCAGCCAGCACCAACGCCTCGCACAGTGGTTGGAGAGCAAGTAAAACAGAAACAGAAACAGAAATTGAAATTGAAATGGGAATGAAATGTGCTTAGTCTGAGCTGCTGTTGCCGTTGTTGGCTTTGCCGCCGCAGCTTAGCGGCGTTTGCCTTTTGCTGCGCTTAGCGAGCTTTTGCTGTTCTCTGGTAACTGTAATTGCGTTTGCTTTCGCTTTGGACACGAACGCTTTATCAGCTGGCCGGGACGGGCAACAGCTTTGGCTGGGTATCAATTAATTAGCCAGCCAGTTATTTAGTCTGGGCCTGCATGCAAACAAATCACGGCACCGCCTCCGAACGTAGACCCACTTTCAGCCCCACACACACACACACACACATACATACATACATACATATATAAACTTACATATGTCTATTGTATTTGAATTTATGGCATGCCATGCACTAAAATATGAATTATTATTACCTGCTGCTGGCGGCGCGGCTGAATTTCCACAGAATTTTCGTAATTTCGCAATTTCGCAGCTAATTAAATGATGCACTCACAAAAACAGAAACAGTTGCAGTTGCAGATGCGATTGCATAGTCTGCGTTGCATTACTTAGTCAGTGGCGCGTCGTTGAATAAATCACAAGAATTCGGCGATTAAATAAATAGAAATCAACGCGCGTTCATTTAAATAGCCAATCGTTGTGGCAGCCACCAAATGTTTTCCAATTAGAGGCGAGCTACTGCTGCTGCTGCTGCTGCTGCTGCTGCTGCTGCTGCTGCTGTTTAACTAATACCGATACCGATTCGGCAACTGATTCCGGGCAGATAGTCACGATATGGGCCAGTTGGCCAGCCAGCGGGGCGCTCAGTCCGTCAGCTAGTCAGTCCGTCAGTCGTTTAGTCGGTCAATCGAGCATTCGTGTGAGTCAAATATTCACTAGCAATAGAATAATTTTCCTTGTTTTTCATTTATTTTCTTCACTTTTTTCTTGTTTCTTGTTTTTTTTGTGTGTGTGTGTGTTTGTGTTGTGTACAACAAAGCGTTGCGTTTCTGTATCTGTATCTATATATCTACAGGCGGACGCCACGTTGCGTTGCGCGCACTGTGCTTCGTGTATCTATCAATTCTGCCAAAACTGAACTAAAACTCTCAAGTGTGCAAAAATCCTACATAAGTGAAGTATCGGCGATGGCGGCGGCAGAACCAGTGGCAGCCGTGGCACCCGAACGCGACTATGTTGAGCAGCTGAAGCTGAAGCTGTAGCTGCTGAGCAAATGTTGGTATTGACGACTGCGGCGGGCACGAATGCCGCAACGAGCGCTGGCATAGGCACAGATAAAGCTACACACACACACACACACACACACACACGCATGCACACACACAGAGATACGCACGCACGAACAACAACTGGCAAGCATTTGGCTTGTTGCATGCCCGCGAGCTTCCCAATGTTGAGATACAAAAAAGCTTCCAAGCTCCGCCAGCTAAGGGTGGTTTACTGTGCGGGCGACAGGTAGCGCAGCGGCAGACGGCGTCAGCGCAGAATAAAACTGCAAGCTCGAATCGAGTTTGTTTCACACACACACACACACACACACCTATGCATGTAGGCTTGTGTGTGTAAGTGTGGCACTTGCGCCAGCTGCCTGCCATGCAGCGGCCAAAAGTGTGCTACAGTTTTTGCGGGGCGCAAGCGCCGCATTAAATGTTGCCAGCGAAATGTTGCTAACGCAAGCAGCAGCAACAAGTTGCTGAGAACAAAGTTCACGCAGACTATTTAAAAACTAGGATTATTTTGATTAAACGCAGGTAAAAGTGGCTAAAAGCTATCAAACAAATGTTTAAGCTATATCTATATCTTCTGAAAACCGCCCGTAAAATTTCCGAAATATTCAAATTTGAATCTCGGAAAGCTTTAACTTAATATACATCGTCTACACATGGTATTCTCAAATATCCGATATAAATATAAGTCAAAATTTCCCACCCCCATAACTCGGTCAAATCTCATTCGATTTTAACTAGGTTTGGCTCTTTGTTCATGGTTTGGCCTGTAGATCAATTGTGCATCTAAATCTGGCAACATTATTTTTGGTCAAAATTCATGTCAAAATTGTACCCTCAAATATCCTATGGGACAAAATTTCCCACCCCCATAACTCGGCCAAATCTCATCAGATTTTCACGAGGTTTGGCTCTTTGTTCATGGTTTGGCCTCTTAATCAATTGGGCATCTAAATCTGGCAACATAATTTTTGGTCGAAATTCATGTAAAAATGGTACCCTCAAATACCCTATATAGACATAGGTCAAAATTTCCCACCCCCATAACTCGGACAAATCTCATCCGATTTTCGCGAGGTTTGGCTCTTTGTTCATGGTTTGGCCTCTAAATCAATTGGGCGTCTAAATCTGGAAACATTATTTATGGTCAAAATTCATGTAAAAATTTTACCCTCGCGTACCTCACGTACTACGTGCAAGGCCAGGGTATACCCGCTAGTATAATATATATCTCTTTAATATGATAAAGATTTAAATATTATTTAATACCTTTCGACCGCCTCCTCCGATGCAGTTTTTCATGGCAAACACAAAATGCGTCGTAGCTCAGTCGAATTTCAATTTAAACGCAGCTGTGAATGTTTCTCAACAATGTTGCTAAACATCTACGAGTTGCAGTGGAAGAAAGCTGCAACTTTTATGCTGTTGCCAATGACAACTGTTGCGTGTGGCCCGAGAGCCGAAGGCTGGCGAGTACGACAAGTAGGCAATATACACACACTGACACACACGCACGCACACACACACACACACACACACACGCACACTCTTTCTGATGAGGGCTGGCAACATAATTACGCACTCGCTGTGTACTAAAAAGCCACACAATTGTTGTATTAAACACATTAAATGTGTGTGCACTGTACACATGTTGGTAACGGTAGCTTTTCATCTGCTTCCCATTGTGCGTGCACACACACACACACACACACTTTGCTTTTTTTAAAGTTTAGCTTGTATTGGTAAATAATAACGGAACGCCTCGGCATAAAAAGGGCAAACAGCTATTGTACTTTATGTAGGCATCGCAGCAAGTGTTTAAATGTAGCCTCTGTGTGTGTGTGTTGGAGTGTTGGTGTGTTGGTATGTGTGTGTGTGTAGATGTGTATCTATGGCGCGTTATATAAAATTTATAAATACTTCTAAGCAGTACCTCCAAAGGTGCTGGCTGCGTGTGTGCCTGGTTGTGTGCGTGTGTGTGTGTGTGTGCGTGTGTGGGTGTGTGTGGGTGTTACTATGGGCGGTTAGGCTACTCGCCCATTGGCGACTTTATTGCTGTATTATTGGCCTTTAATTTGACCATCAATATTTTCCCAGGCATCAGCGTGAATTTTCTCCGTTTTCCGTTTGGCTAATTTGTGTTTTGTTTCTTTTGAATTTCAATTGCTTTGCTTTGTTGTCGTTCTTATTATTGTTGTTTTTATTTTATCATTCGTGTTGTTATTTAACTTGACTTTGCAGGCTATGCAACTTAATTGATTTATGGTCTGGTTATTTATATTCAGTTGGAATTGAAAGACCATTTGTTCGGGCAGGGAATACATGATATTTTTTATTTACTGCGATTTCTTTCGATTGATTTCGATTTTTGAGAAATATACATATTGGCAAAGGCTTTAAGTGTTAAGGAAGATTTATTGCAGCTTGACGCTTGCAATTCCCAGCAAGTTAAAGCTTCCGAAAGAATACGAGACCTTTGAATCTAAGAGTAGATAGCAAAGTTAGGCTCTTGGTTATTATTTTTACAAAAAAATAAGAAATCGATGTACTTCAATTGAAATATATTTTAATATTTAAGGCTTTAGTAATAAGATTTGAGCAAATTAAAAAAAATGCACCGTTCTAACTTAAAACAAGTAGGCTTTAGTCGTGGGTTCCGACTAGGGGATACCCGGAACCCTCTTCTATGCGATAGCTATAAAATAAAAGATACTTGATATATGTATACTCTTCTAGAAGCTACATGTCTAATTTGGTGATTCTAGCTCTTAAAACATACGAGGTTTTTTCAATAAACAGGATTCCGATATCGATTTTTATCGATTGCTTGGAAACGAGGCAAGTTATCGACTATCGGAAACAAGCTCGTACTGCGCGGGCACTGGGAGGACCAACGTTCAAGTCTCTAGCTCTTCTTTTGGGATTCTTGCGTTCATGCAAATGGACGGACGGACAGACAGAAGGTCATGGATCGATTCGGCTATTGATGCTGATCAAGAATATATATACTAGATGCCTTCTTTTGCCTGTTACATGCATTTGCACAAATATAATTTTCCCTTTTTTACCCATTCCAGGGTATCAAACAACTCAAGTTCTCTAAAGCTATAGCTTTATAAACTGGCTATCAAATGATGCAAGTTCCTGGGATGTAAACAATCCCAATTGTATCTTTAAAAGCATTAAGATACATTTTATTAGAGGGTTATATCAGAAGATGGCATGAGTTAAAGCTGAATACAAATTTGTCTATTTCAATATGTTTTTTTATTATATTTTAAATTTCGAAAACATATATGGAATATTTCTATACAAATTTCGCACGTGCAGCACTTGGCAGCGGCAACAATTATGAGTGCAGCATAAAGAAATGAATTGCCACAATTAAGGTGCATAATAGTCGAGCCACCTTGGGGCATGAAACAAGTCCTGAAGTAGCCGTAAAATGTTTTTGCTGGACTGGGACACAAAACTTGAGCTGTTTATGGCCAGGGCTCTTTGGAGCGCACTTACCACTTGCCACTTACGCCGGCCCCGGGGCTGGGGCAATAACAAAAGGCGCCACAAAATGCTGCGCTGCGCCTGCTTATTATGTTGAGCAGTGCGGCCGCTGTCTGCGCCTGCTGCGGCAGCATCCCTCAAAGGTTGCCCCTAATGTAGTTAGCACTTGATTTCAGCTCACCTGCTACGCCACGCCCCCACCCTACCTCCCTGCCCAGCCCCCGTCTGTCGACAATTTCACGCATCCATTGTTTGCAACAACATTTGTTTTTCATCACTTTGTTTGGTGTACATTATGCGGTCTGAGTGGGAAGGGGGGGCGGGTTTGCCCACTTGGAAGGTGGGCGGGAGGAGGAGTAGGCTGTCTGGGATTATAATCTACGGCCACTTCGGCGCGTTTATGACTTTTGAGCGGGCGCCAAAAAGCAAAAAGGGCACCGCAAGCCAAATATTTGTGGCAACATAAGCGAAGGCAAACAGTGTGCATTATGCGAGCAAACTTGTGCAACAAATTGTGGCAGGCGCCGCTCCACATATATGTACATATATACAATATATATATTATATATTCTTTATGCGTTTTTTTATGCTGTTTGCTGTCAGCCACTTAGAGGCGCCTCGGGCCCAGCTCCGCGATCCCGTGGCGATCTGTTAATTGCCAGCAATCAGCCATTCTTTATTTTTATGTACGCCCCTTGCCACGCCCACTGATAAGTATTGCTTATTGAGCTAAAATTAAATAGATTTATTATTCAATAAATTGAACGCTTACGCTTACAATATTTGTAGCTAGATTGGCTTTGGAGTAGGTTGTTGTCTGGTGGAGGGGAAGGGGAAGGGGGAGGGGGAGGGGGGAGACAAGTGCTTCTTTGTATAGAAAGCCAATGCGTAAACAGTTTTATGTCATAATTATTACTTTATGTGTATGCATGTGTGTGTGAGTGTGTGTGTGTATCTATATATGCTTTATGCTTTAGGCTCATAATTGTATTTATGTCTATATGCTATGCTTTAAGGTTAATGGGCTATTCATGTGGTCAAAATGCAAGTGTGTGTGTGTGTGTGTGAATATTCACTTAGAATTACATAAAGATAAAGTACATATATATTTATATGTATATATATATATATATATATATATGGGGTGATATTTACTACTACATAGCAATTATTGATATGTACACAAGCTTTGCAGCTTAACACAATTTAAAAAAGAAATTAAACTGAGCAAAGAGAATTTTTTAACAAACGACAAATCTAATGAAATTGCTCGCTAAAACAGGGCGACGTGTGGGCGTGTGGGCGTGGGAGGGTGGTAGGTGTGTGTGTAGGTGGGCGTGTCGTTACCTTGGGCACCCTAACAACTAATCAAATCTATTATTATTATAATTGTAATATTTTGTTGTTGATGTTTTTGTTTATAATTGTTGCAGCTGCTTATAACTAGGGCCTATAAATAAATACAATGCTCGCAGGCTTGTCTTTTATGCAAAGTGTGGAAAATGAATAGAACTAATCGATATATCATATATGCGTATATATAGCTATATATATATATATATATGTGTGTGTATATATATTTGTATATGGTTTTATGTTTGTTTTGGGTGTAACTGCTATGTGGGATGCACTTTTGTTTTAGCCAGGCTAACGAGTTCACACACATGAATCACTCGCTGCTCGTCGCTCGCTACTCGTTACTCGCTACTCGCTGCTCGCTGCTTACAGCTAAACCCAAGACGCCTGCGAACGCAGCGAGTGCACAACTCGCTGGCGGCAATACTCGCTCTACTTTGTACTGTTCGCGACGAGTTGTTTTACTCGCTGAGTTCGCGTCCGTCGCACACAACAACATTTTCAGCTCCAGCCAGGACTCGTTAGCTCCTTTCTCTCTCTCTGTGTGTGTGTGTGTGTCTATATACATTGGTTGATGCTGCGTGTGTGTGTGTGTTTTTTATTTTTCTCAAAAATATGACTTTGGTATTCCTTTTTCTTTTGTATACTTTTTCCTTGACCACTTGCCCTTTACGAGCTGACCACCGCATCTTTTAGCAGGGACACGCCCACCGAGCCCAACCCAACGCCCACACTCACACCCACACCCGCGCCCACACCGACCGCACTGCTGCCATTCACAATATCCTCCGTGTGCTGCTGCTGCTGCGTATGCTCGTCGTCCTCCTCCTCCTCCTCCTCGTCGATTGCCTCGTTCTGGCTACACTCCTGGCTGGCATCGTGGGCGGCCTCGTCGTGCGCCGGCTCCTCGGCAGCTGTGGGCGTCTCGGCGTCTGCATCTGTGTCCGGCTGCTCGCTCTGCTCGGGCCCGGCTGCTGCATTGGCCACCAGCACACCCGAGTACTTAATGCCGTTCAGCTCCAGATTGACAATCAGCTGCTGTTCGCCGTTTGCGCCGGTGCCTGCTCAGCGAACGGATGTGATTAGATTGGAATGTGAAAGGCTCCTAATTGGATTGCTTACCATTCCGTGCCACTTGAAACTGCATGCCCGACAGCAGGCTGAGTGTCTCGAGGGGATTCAGCTTAACGCCGGCTCCGGTTATGCCCCCGCTGCTGCTACCACTGCCGCTGCCGCCGCCCCCTTCAGCTGTGCAGCTGCCGTCCTTCGAACTGGACTGCGCCTTGCTGCCGCTGCTCTTCTTCTTGGTGGACACCGGCGAGCTGTGACGATGGCCGCCGCCCGAAGCCGATGCTGTTGTGGAAGTGCTGGGTGAGTTCTCAATGGCCGAGTCATCCGACTTGTCCAGATGGTTCTGATGATGCGAATGATGGTGGTGCTGGTGGTGGTGATGCAGATGGTGGTGGTGGTGCCCGTTCAGCTGCTGGGGCTCGCTGTCGTCGTGCAAGGAGGACGAATTGCCGGTGGTATTGTGCTCCGCATTGGCATAGTCATCCTCTGGCTCGCCGTCAGACGCGGCATCCTGCTGCTGTTGCTGCTGCAGTTGCTGGTGCTGCTGATGCAGCTGATGGTGGCTGTTGCTGTTGGCCTGTTGGTGGTGGAAGCCCGCGGCGGCAGCTACGGCGGCCATGTTGTGTGGATTCAAGTAAAAGTTTGCCGGGAAACCGGGCGGCATCAGGCCGCTGCCCACCCGTTTCGCCGGCGGCGGCTGATGCGGTGCATCCTCCTGATCCGCCGGCTCAGGCGTCGGATCGCGTTCGCGTTCACGTTTTATGTGGTTCAGATTGAGAGTTGGCGGCGAGTCCGAGAGGTTCAGAGCTTCGCTAAAGTTGACAGAGAGAGTGAGATGGGACATTAAAGCTTGCCGGTTAGTGTCTGCGCTAAGCAAACGCGCTGTGGTGCGTGTCTATGCTGCCGCATATAACAGGGTGTATAACACTTACCGTTGCTGTGGTGAGGTGTGCGCCGAACCGGTTGGACTGCTATTGTGGTACATATGCCAAAGCGCCACCTGTGCACTCAGCGCATCGCGCGTGCTCAGCTCGGGACTTTGTGAGCGCTGCCGTTGCTGCTGCTGCTGTTGTTGTTGTTGTTGTTGTTGGTGATGATGCAGCGACTGTTGCTGCTGCTGCTGCTGCTGATGGTTGTGTGGCAGCACTGGCGCGCTCTGCTCCTTCTTGGCCTGTATCAGCTGCAGATACTCCATCATGCGATTCTCAATCTCCTGTGTGACCAGATTGGGCATCTGGCCAAATGGCGGACCGCCCATCAGACGGCGGTGCGCGGCTGCGGCGGCCGCCGCTGCCTGCGCCTGCTGATTGTTGGCCGCTGCGGCGTGTGTGACCAGCGCCAAGGGTGACATCTGTTGCATGCCACCCGGCAGCGGGGGTCGCGAAATGGGCGTCTGCAAAGGCAACAGGTGAGACAGATTTGGCTAGGCATGTGGAGGGGGTAGGGAGATTGTGGTCTACTCACCAGCGGCATCTGGTTGTGCATGGCCTCGTATTGGCCGTAGCTGGAGCGGCGTCCTTCGCGCCGATTGCCATCAATGGCCGCCTGCAGCTCGGCGGGTGTGCTCAGGTTCTTCTTCTCGCACTCGTAAGGGTACAGATACTTCATGTATCTGAAAGATGCATAAAATTATTAATAAGCGCAGCAAACATGCATCGAGTGCAAGTAAAACACGCAACGCCGTCGTCCTGTCGCAGCCACGTTTATATTGAATTAACGTGTAAATACGAAACGTGACGAGCAATGAACAAACAAATCGCAGAGAAGCGGGCAGCTAGCAGCGGGCAACGTGCAACGTGCAGCATGCAACAGGCAACTCTCGATCGGCTCCTTGATCGGTTTGCCGATGTTTGATTGTTCCGGCTTTTATTTGCTCTGCTGCCCGTTCGATGCTCTTCTGTTTGATCGTCGCATAGTTCGCGGCCAGATGTCAACGAGTTGGCCATAGAGTTGGCCGACTCATGGATACACTACTTACTGTGTGCGCAGCGTGAAGGCGGCACTGGTGATGCTCGACGGCAGATGCAGCCCCTTGATTATCTCCTGCCAGAGCTTCTTGTTGATGACATCGACAAGGCCGCCGCGGGCTATCACCAGATTGTATAGCTCATACAGATCCAGCACCGATTTGGCCATTATGGGCAGCCGATTGATGGGCGTGCCTGTTGGAGAAATTAAAAAAAAGAGAAAACCAACAAAAATCGAATGGTTAGAAAATTAGCAAAGCGTCTGTGTGTGCACCATAAAAACTTCCACTTGTGGCATGTAAATGTTTTCCAATGCGCTTGTTAAATGCACCAGCAAGCAAAACACGATTAAAAGATGCCATAAAATCGATTTATTGTATTGTATCTCTCCCTCCCCTGCAATCCGCTCACACGTATGGCCAGCGGGCAATTAACACTAGTTGCTAACAACAACTCCCAAGTGCAGACCTCTGCCTGTGCACCGATAAAAACATAAATAAATCCAAAATGTTTTGCCGGCTCTGCAAGTAGATGGATACACATGTTTCTACATATGTCTATGCATACATATGTATATGTTTATGGCAGCTAATCATCATCATCATCATCATCATCACCATCGACAACTTTGGCATCAGTTCTATTTCACTATTGGATTCGTATTATTCGATTTTCAGTTGCCACGCCTAGGGCCCCCATTTGCCCATTTGGCTGCCCATCTCATTTGTTTGGATGCGTCCCACATAACAACAAAAAGAAGGCAGATTTAAATCTTTTAGGTTTAGCTGAATCTCAAATATCCTGCACTAAAGAATGCGTGGCTACTAGAATTCCTAATTGCAGATCTTAAGTTTGTTTTCTGTCATAAATAGACTGATTTCGTGATAGCCTTAATGTGGATTGCTCTTCTATGCGATTCTCAAGGCCTCGCCCGACATATTAAAAATATAAAGTTATGTCTTATATCTAAGATAATAAGTTGTTGAATCCTCCTCTATCATCGGCTTTCTCTGTCTGTCTCTGTCTCTCTCTCTCTCTCTCTCTCTATCTGTCTCTCGCTCTCTCTCTGTCTGTCTGTCTCTCTCTCTTCCTAACTCTATTTTGATCTCATCTCCATTACTCGCTTTCGCTAGCTCGCATTCGCTCTCATTATGCCCCACTACGAACTCATTTAAATGTCTTATCATCGCTGGAATTTATGAAAATCGCATAGAAAGGCGTTGCGCAAAATAATTTACTCAAGCTTAACCAATAATTGCAGCAGCCATTGGGTATCTCAGTGATCACAGTCTTCCTCTATCTGTCTATAACTTGGCGAACTAATGTACTTGTCTCTTTTAAACATTTTACATGCTAACTCAGTAACTGATCTCTAAACAGATTGACTGTTAAATGGACCCGAGTCCAGTGAGTTCTAACTGTAACAGATACCAAGCTCGTCCGTAGTTGCCATGTACCTCGGCTGTGTAGCGCAGTGGCGCATATAAAAATCAAATCAACTTGCATAATTGCTGTGCTTGGTACGTGAGTAACTCGATTTTGTATTGTGCTGTATGGCCCGGCCCCACTTCCGCCCCTTTATACCCAACATACCGATACGAATACAATTTGGTTCAATATCATTTAATGCTGCTTGCTGCTGCCAGAGAGTTGTTATAGTTTGTGCCTCTGCCTGTGCCTGTGTGCCCGAAGCCTCTCGACTTTTTATGAGCCCAAAGGAATCAATCAAACTCGTTGATGGACGTGTTGATTGAATGAAAATACGTTTTTGTTTTTTATGCATATAAACAAATCCGAAGGCGAAAGGGGGAAACGATGATTGCCTCTATGCAAGCAACAAAAAAATTGAAGAAAAGGAATAAAACGAGTAAATCGAACGATTTATTTTGTGGTACGAGACTAAGGACAAGCATGGCGCGGGGACGCAATGCTGCGGGTTACGGGCAGCGGATCGATTGTGATGATGCGTTCATTTGGATCGCTGCACGAGCCACAAAGGCAAAACACAATCAATGCAAAGCAATTTAATGATTAACTTTGCTCCAATCTCGGCGATCATTAAACTCTTCCAGAGGTCGCCTCTGGGGCCCAATCCGATTGACTCGACAACTCCTGGCCAGGCGCTGGCACGCACATTCACGCCATCCAGCATATGATCAAAAAATGTTATTTATTTGCATGCTATAATTGTTATTATTGTGATATTATTATTGGAGACATTTCCTATCCCATAAAGTATATATATCGTAGATCTGAGTTGATATACCCATGTCTTTCTCTTTGTCTGTATATTTCAATGCGCAATTGTCTCTCAATTTTAAAGCTGTTGTCTTGAAACATTATATAGATTCGACTTTCTGTTGCAAGTAGTTCATACGACGAAACAGACTGGATCGGACCCCCATATCATATAGCTGCCATGGGCCGAAAGTTAGGTTCTTGTATCAAAGTTTTGTTTGAAGATATCTTGACCAAACTATGCATTTTTTAGTTTCATTTACTTTTCATATATACGCAAAATCTTATCAACATCGGGCCAATAAAACATCTAACTACCATAGGAGGATCGGCCGAAAAGTAGTTTCTTTTATAGCTTTTAATATTCTAACTATATTATAAAGCTCTCATTGAAGCTTCGAAGCATTGCGCTCACTTCAAGCTAAATAATTATCATAGTATAATTTTCAGAACTATAATATATTTACATATAATATAATTCCAATTTCAATTCCTTATATTTCTTAACCCCATTTCACATTTAAAGCAGAAAATTTTCTAGACGAAAATTTCCAATTGCTATTGATTTAAATAATATTATTAGAAGAGCGCAAAAATATTTGAAAAACAATTTTCAACAATAGATATTATGATTATTTGGCCTTAAAGCTTTTTAGGAAAAGACAACCGATGAGATGGCGATGAGCTGTATTTATTATTTATTTTTATGCATTGTTTTCTTAGATGTCATGGCATTTTAATGGAATTTAAAGAAATTTGATCAAGTCTGAAATCATAGCGCACCTCTAGTCGCAGCGCAGCCTCTGACAGCTGATTTAGTTGGGTCGGATGGTCGGATGGTCGGATGGTTGGTTGGTTTGTTGGATTGTTGGTTGTTGTTTTGTATTTGGCCCCCGCGTTTGGCTGGCGTTTGGACTGATCTCTGGCAAGGGTCTGTCAGGCTGGCAGAGCACTGGGAAATATCTACAGAAATAGCGCGCCCGGTTGATAAGTGATTGACGTCTTTTAATTAAGAATTGCGCCGCTCTTCGCTGCACAAACAACAAACACGAGCCCCAACACGGACGGAGACAGCGCCGGGAACAGGGACGGGGACGGGGACGGGGACAGGGACACGAATGCGGACACGGACGCGTATTTAGTTTATATATTTTTTCAGCATAATTTCCGTTATACGGTTAGTTGTACAATTGTACAATATCAGAGCAGATATAAATATAGTTATAGATACCGATACAGCGCAAGATACAGATACAGATACATAAGTATATATGTTGTGCATATAGCCGAGGCGCAGCGCATTTTTGGCGTTTCCATCAGTTGGCTGCAAAGCCAGCGACACTTTAGACAGGCCCACGCCCAGTCGCAGTCACAGTCGCAGTGGCAGTCGCAGTCACAGTCGCAGTCGCAGTCACAGTGACCGCGTTGCCGCACTAAACATACATATGTCAAAACTTGAACGCATGTGACAGATTAAAATCCATTAAGTTGTCAAACGTGGGGAGATATGTGCGCCAGCTATATACCATATAGACATCTAAGCATCTTATGCTCATGTGTGCGCGCGTGTGTGTGTGTGTGTGCGAGTGTGTGTGTGTGTCTGAGTGTGTGTGTGTGTGTGTCTGAGTGTGTGAATTGGATAAAATAAATAGTTAAGCACAAATGCAATTGCTCTGTGGCAGCGTGTTGCAAGTCGAGCTTAGGCATTAGCATGTTTATAAGGCAACAACAAACTGCCACACACACACACACACACTCGCACACACACACACACATGTGTATTGCATGTAATTTAACTGTGACTTTTTCTTTGCACAACATTTTTGCCTTTGCATGTCGCAAATGCAAATATAAACAAATTTAATGCACTCGGCAACGGGCAAATACTTCAGCTGGCAACGCGTCTGTGCGGCTGTGCAAGTTGCATGTGCCACAGGAAGTGGCCAAAGCTTTGGCCCTGGTTGCATGCCACATGCTCGCGTCGCGTCGCATCGCTTCGCATGTGCCCTCAACTGGGCAATTGTTAATGCTTATAATTAATGACAAAATGCAGCAAATGAAATTTGTTTGCCACATTTTAAAAATAGTCGTCATTTTTTCACTGTAGCCTTTAAGTACCAATATATGTCGGCACACGTTGGCCCCTCGCCCCCCTCACTCCCCTTTCCATCCTTTGGCCAAAGTGTTGCCTCGAAGTGTTCTTGAGTGTGCGTGTGTGTGTGTGTGTGTGTATCTGTGTGTTGCTTGACGGTAATTTGGAGTGACAAAACGACAAAAGTGCGGCATCATTTTGATGATTTCTCTGTCATTCGTTAAGTAATTTCTGCATATTTTAATGCACTCACACACACACGCACACTCACACACACTCTCACACACAGAGAGCCGAGAAATCAAACGGCAAAGTGCCGAGAAATTTATTCAATTAACATAATTTGAGTCCGTCCGCAATGCAAACACTTCAAACTTTGTTTAGTCTGAGTCAGCAATAAATGCAAATGTTGCCCCAACCAACTCAGCTCAAGACCCTGCCCCCAAGTATCCCTGCTCCCCCCTCCCCCTCCTCCCTCCCGCACACACAGCTGTACTTACCGCGCTTTTGCATAAACGAGAACAAATCATCGAGAAACTCCTTGCGCTTGGGATCATCATTGATTTCATAGAGCTGCAAAATAGAATACAAATGCATTATTATAATTCCAATTATATATGGGCATATATAGAGCTAGATTTACGTCTAGAGTATTCAACAAAGACGCACAAAAAGGGGCTCGAAGACTACTTGACTTGCGGGCCAATGGATTTGCGCAAAATGGTTGCCACACGCTATTCCATTGTGCGCCAGTGTTGTGTTTGTTGTTGTTGCTGTTGCTGTTGTTGTTCGGTGTTGGTTAACAGACAATAGAAACAGACGCCTTGACATGCCTCGACCCTGGTCCAGGCGCGCAATCAGGGACAACAGGCACAACAGGGGCAACAGGGGCGCGTGTTTCGCGCTCTCATTCACCTCATTCACGGGGGGTGGAAATCGTACACAAAGTAACAGAAAATGTGTGAAGCACCCCAAAGAGCATTAAAAAAAAGGGCAAGGTTTGAGTTGCGTGAGTGGCTCGGCACAATCCATAATTAGGTGATAAACATGAGATTGTCGTCTATATGGTACTTATGTGCATGCATGTATATGTGCATACATATGTATTTAGTTTATGTACAGCATACTATGTATGTGTGTCAAGGGAGGTGAGTTTTGAGCAAAACAGGAAGATAAATTCAGTTAAATGTTTTCTTTTTCAATGAAAAATATTCAACAACTTTGAATTCTGGAATTTTGTCGAGTTTAATTACAATAATTAATTACAATTTTATTTTATTGTTTTTAATTAATTTATTGTAATTAAATTGTAGCTAACTAAGTTGAACTTTCAACTAACTAAGCCTTCCTTGAACTGTTCCGTATGCTCTGTAATGATTACAACAAGCATTACAGAGTATTCTGCTGGGAGTCTTCGCTTCCTCGCATAAAGTCATCTATTTAGAAAGTAGATAGTCTAAGTTCGTATTCGTTTTTGTATGCAGCATACGTCATATGGGATGCAGCCCTTTGCATCGGGATTCTCGCGAAAAATGATGGCTAGCACTTAATAAGTTGCTTCTCTCATTCGAGTTCAGATAAAAAATTAGGCGGTTTGTTGTTCCATTTAAATTAAAATTAGGATTTACAATTACTATAGATAATTCGCTCATTAAATCCCGAGCTCTTAATAATATATATAAATTATAAATATATAAAATTCCTTATACGAGATTTTCTACTGTGTGGCCAACAAAGCCATAAATTATTTCAAATTTTTAAAATGTTTAAATGCAGAAATAGCCTTGATTCCTATAGCATTAAATAGGTCCAAATTAAAGTCTAGACATGTAGTAAATAATATATTTTTATAAGATTTTTGAATTGTTTGGTTCTGTCTTGCATTTTTCTTCAATATTGGAGAAAATTTGTGATAAATTGTGTTTAAAAAAAAATATATCATAGAATATACAAAAAAAACGCTAGACTAGCCAAAATAGATGTTATATAAAAATAAAAAATAGATCACCAAATCCCAACAATCAACTAGATAAATGTTCATAAAACATATATAAAATATGAATAAAATGACTAATTTCTGGTTCCCATCCACAGTTCGTAGTATTCTGTTTGCATTTAATGGATGTAGCCTGAGCATTCGTGATTGTTCATTCCTCTTTTATTTTGTGGGATATTTTGTTTTGTGCTTGATGGCTCCTCGGGCGCACACTCTGACCTTTAACCCATTTGCAGAGGTGCTCCCTTGGCATTATTTTTGCTTAGTTAAATTATAGAAGTCTATTCCTTAGCCCAGGCAGATGTGCACACATGTATGTGTGCATATGTATGTATAAAATTAATGACAACATCTGAGTGAACTCATCAAATTTGGAATTCATCATATTTTCCGCCTACTGCTAAGGCAGAGGCCCTGGCAAAGGCAACTGGCAACAGGCAAAGTTTGAGCTTTGCTGCAGCAGCAACAGCTGCCTCTGTCTCAGAGGCTTTGGGTGCACATTCTAAGTCAATGCGAATGATGATGAACTGCCTCGCTGCCCCACTCGCATAAATGATTTAAAGACTGAAGACTGCAGACTGTGGCAACAACAACAACAACAACTTGCCGCTCTCCCGATTCGAGGCTGGAGCTCAACAAGTTGCCAGGCTGTGGCTCGGTCTGGGCCTGAATCAGAGCGGGCACCCGAGCTGCCGTTGCTCCCCCTCGACTTCGACTTGGACTCTCCGAATGCAACTGCAACTCACAACTTCGACTGGCTGGTTTTTGTTTTTTTATGATGCACGACGCCCACAAGAGCTGTATATGTGGAATACATGTGCGCATCAGTGTGCGTATTTCTTATATATCTGTCTCGTGTCGGGCTCAGGAATTGATTGAAGTTCAACCTGAAGTTGTTTTGCGTTTAATGCTCTTTTTGGCATTTATTTTATTTGACGTTCAGTTTGTGGCCAAAACAAAACACAAATTTGGCTTTTTAATTAAGTTTTTTTCTGCAGATTTCTCTTTGCTTTTTAATGCCTATTTGCAAAATTTATTATTTATGATGAATACCTCCTGTATTTGATCCTCGGAGATGAGCATGATGGCACACACACACACACACAGAGAGGCAAACACACACACAGGCACAACTTTTGATTAATTGAGCTTTTAATGTGGTTGTTGCACTTGCAAAATTCAATGTTTGCGCGTTTATTTCTGGTTAGTTAAAGTTTCACGTTTTTGTCTCTCTTCGTTTTGATAGAGCTGAGAATTGTTTACATCGATTGATCAACGCGACGATGCAACGCCATCAAAGGTCGTTTATCAACTAAAAATATTGAAAGTGCCGCAGGGTGCAGCAATCGACGCGCTGACGTCGCAGCACAAATCAAACACACACACACACGCACACACACGTACACACGCATCGATTACCATGTGCGTATCTGTGTGTGCTGGCCGCCCGGCTGCCTGGCTGCCTGCCTGTGCGTCTGTATTTGTATCTGTGTGCTTTAATAATATGTACCTAATAAAATGAAGTCCGCTTAGCGAAAAAGAAAAACCCTTGTGGCAAACCTGACCAAGTCCTGGAAATATCCTTGCATCACAGCAGCAGCAGCAGCAGCGGACGCAGCCGCAGGCCAGTCGACAAATCCGTCTGGTCCCTGGGCAATAAAACAATAAAATACCCTAACAGAAGTTCTAGACCAATCATAATCGTTTTTATAACTACACACATGAATATATGTGTGTGTGTGTAGGACACATGGCACACACACACACACACGCACACATACACAGAGAGAGACTTGCCGGGGTTCGGTTATAAAAATAATCTCACTTATTTGTCGCTAGCATTTTGGACTAGTACCTAAATGTGTGCAGAGGCTGTGCTTGAAATTTGAATCCTTGATTCTGGGAATTGTCAAATGCGTTTTGCCAGATCAGAGTATGTGTTAATGTGTGCCCGTGTCTGTGTGTGTGTGTGTGTGTGTGTGTGTAATTTATAACTATCAGCGTACTAGGCATATGGCATTGTGAAAGTGCAAAGGTTTCGAATGGAAATGCTACTAAAAATTATATGACTAGATCCCGTTGCATGTTCTGTTTGCTGTGCCTCGTTTCGATCGGCTCATAATTTGTCCAGTTTTTATACACACATGCTCATTACACACACACACACACACACACACACACGCACACGGACACACAGTCGCAAACACTGTGAGTGTATCTTGTGCACATATTTATTTAAGAATTTCACACTCGTTATTGAAAATCGAAAATCTGTTGACCAGATTTTTGTTTTGTTTTGTTTTGTTCATTTTTTAATTAACTGAAATTCGTTGAGGTTTCGTTTTATTTTATTTTATATTATTTATTATTGCCTTTGTTGATTTAAGAAGTTCCTAAAGTACAGTGCTTACTGATTAAAAACAATTCAAAGTCGAATGCGGCTCGAGTGAGGCCGAGGGAATTATTTAAATTTTATGATGACAGGCAACGCGAATTCGACGAAGCTCGACTTTGATTCATCGGAACTCAATTTGTTTATTTGGCATTTAGTTTAATTGAATATTTTTGATAATTATTTGCATATAATAAATGTTGACAAATACTTCGTGTTGCTCGATAAAAATGTGAGCTGTAATAAACTCAACTAATTTTGAAGTCAAAGTCGTAATTAATTTTGTGTATTTGTGTTAATTATTTTAGAACGTTTCGCTGGCAATAATATAACAATTTAATTGCCTTTGTACAAATCGACAGTAGAATTTATAATTATTAACACTAAATAATAAACCGAAATGCGCAACAGTTTCATAATCCATATGGCATGAAAATTGCAATCTGAGAATTCGTTGGGAGGCAAATTGTAAAATAGTAGAATTGTAGAATTCATAATATGAGTATGTACAGATTATGTACAGAAAGAAATACGAAATGAATATGAAAAAATAATACAATATTGGAAAATGCTTTGGGGTCTATAATTAAACATAATTATTCAGTATGTACAGATAATTGACATTGATTAATGAGAGCAAAACGAATATAAACGAATCTATATGATTTAGTTTCGTTTTATATATGCACATATATATATATATATATATATATATATGTGCATATATAAAACGAAACTAAATCATATAGAAACGCGGAAAAAAAACGTACCAAAATAATATTTTGTCTTCGTCTGCGTTAGATAGATAGATAGATGGTTGGATGGATGGATGGACGGATGGGTGGATGGATGAATGAATGTCTGACGAGCAGTGGGGCGGCAGTCGCAGTGCCCAGACAACAACAACAACAACAACAACGACAACAACAACAACGGGCACTCACATCGTAGAATGATTTTCTTTTAGCATCTTGCGAGGCAGACAAATTCAAAATGGCTTTTCATACGCAGCAGCAGCAGCCACTCACTCAATTAACATAATTATCGTTATGAGCAGCGGCCACATTTTCACAATTAATGAAAGCCGCCATTTTGTGCTGCAGCAGCGCAGATACTTGCAGCAGCAGCTTTAAGGGATTAGGCAACCGAACAACAGCAACAACAAGCCGACACCTATATCCAGGGAGCACTGCAGCTGGGTCGCCTGGGCGGGTAGGCGTTGGCTAAGCCGGTTTCAGCCAATATCTTCCACTTCTACTGCTTGGCCGGTGTAAGCGAAGGTGTTAAGCGTGAAGCGGCCGAGATACGAACGGATACATGGCAAGCCGCCACAGATACATTTGTATCTCTGTGTGTCTCTCTTTGCAGCGTGAGGGTCAAAGTTTTTATAGTGCATAGAGAATGCGGGCTGTTTGATGAATTGCCAACAACGTCGAGGGTGTACGCGAGAGTTAATCGAAGTTTAGTTTTTATGGCCAGCGGCAAAAAAAAAAAAAAGCTGTTGCGGTTCACACGGCGCAACAATTTTGGCAACAGAGAGAGAGGGAGAGATAGCAAGAGAGGGAGAGAGACATATTTTAATTAACAGATTGTGCACTTCTTGTGATAATTTCACGCTGGCTCCGCAGCCATGCGTGAAAGAGTTTAGACCCAGGCCTAGGTCCAGGCATCTATGTCCAGGCATCTAGGCCCACTTAACAGCCTCCTTGAAGCGCACAGCATCTACACACGCACAGAAAAAAAAAGGAATACAAAAACTGGCTCTTTTCTCACCAAATTAGTGTGCTCAAGATGTGAGCATTAATTGCTCAATTGCAGCAAACCGGAACTGGGCAACGTGGAACTCGGTTTATTGCATGTGAACAGCTTCGGGCAGAAGCGTCAAAACGAGATCAAAACTTGGCGCATACCCCTGCTCCCAGCGCACGCACACACACACACACACACACACACACACACACTCGCACACACACACGCATAGACAGCTCGTCTTGGCAACTGGTTCAAGTTGTTGGCTATTAGCCGTTAATTGATAGTTTGTCGAAATGGCTGGGCTGAACGGCAACTGGCCCGCTCAACTTGGCTGGCAGTGTGTGTTTGCAAAGAGATTAAATTGACTAACACTAACCTGTCTGACTTGTTTGTACTGCTCTTCAAAGCTCCAGCCATTATTCTGCTGCGATGAATTGGATGCCTCGCTGGACGTCGATGAATTTGATGCGGAATTAGCTGCAAAGTGGCGCGCTGAGTTCAACAGTTAAACACCGGCTAACCCACAGCCCCATACCAACCTTCTTTGGCGCTCGGCGCTGTCGGCGATGCAAACGAGAAGGGATGCCCATTGCCGGCATTGTTGTTGTTGCTGCCGTTGTTGCTGTTGTTGTTGTTGCTGTTGTTGTTGCCACCAGCATTGCCTGCCGCATTCGTGTTGTTGCTGCTGCTGCCGTTGTTGTTGTTGTTAACGGCGCTGCCTCCACCTGTGCCGCTGCTAACTCCATTATTGTTGCCGGCGCCGGCGCTGCCCATTGCTGCAGCTGATCCTGTGCCAAGAGTTGCACCATTGTAGCTGGCGCCGTTGCTGGCGGCGGGCGGCACGGACACATTGGCCGCATGGCCAAAGGATGCAGCTGCCGCGGCCGCTGCCACCGAATTGTGCGGCAGCGGAAAGGCCGTGCTAATCGTTGTGGGCAGCATATTGGCGCCAAAGGCGGCCGCATGTGCCGCTGCTGCATAGTCCTGTTCCTGCAAGGCAGTCAAAGCGAAACGTAACCAATGATAATCAGAGTAGCTCATCATCTCAATATGACACAATCTGTTATTAAAGAACTCCGTTTTTTTGTTGTTGTGAGAACTATTCATTAAATATTATATTTATGTACGAATTGTACGATTAAAATTCCAAATCACACAATTTGATATAAATTTTTGATTTAATTGGAATTCATTCCCTTGAATATCAAATATCAAAGGGCTGACAATTTAATAGAAATTTGCTTTCTTTTTCGCCTTTTTATAACAAGTTGATGCGACTTGCAATGAAAAGCATATTTGAACTGTTTTTGGAGTGTGGTAATTTGAATTAATTAATATCATTTTATAAGGAAATGCATGTTGAGAAACATAAGTTTTATATAATATATCTGATCAGTATATGGCGATGTCTGATTGTATTTATATCTGTTTTGCTGCACATTATATTCTGCGTGAATAAGACGCTCTTGGAGTCTATAGGTCTATATAGATCTTAATGTAATAGCTAAAGTTTATCAGAGCTCTAATTGCATATGGATTAAAGTATTTTAATAACTTTAATTAGGTCGCTGTATGCAGCAGGGCATACTCTATAACAATTATTGATTGGCTAGAAGGGCGAAATTAGACAGCTCCGATCATATAAATTATATTCCTATATAGTCCGAAAAGTCGGCTCTATCTACGGAAACCTGCCTATCTGTCTGTGTGTTTATACGCAAACCCAACTCTTATATCAAACCTATCTAGATGAAACTGGACATAAGGTCTTCTTTTTCTTGAAGTAGGCAGTTAGAGTGTATTTCTGGAAGCGGGCGAAAGGAATTTAGCCTTCAGGTCTAATAATAAGCTGAGGTGTAAAAAGTCTTTGCAAGGTTAACTTTATTTTTTGACTAACTAATGTTTTGATTTTAAAAAAGTGAAATAATATATAAAAAGCAGAGCTATACCAGAGAATCGAATGATCAGTTCTTCTAAATCTGATATATCTATATCATTTTTATAAATATATCTATATCTTTATCTCTTTCTATGTATAAGTCGCCCTTTAAGATTGACTACCGTGCATCTGATTTCCTTTTGTTATAAAGTCTTCCGTTTAATGCTTTGCCTAGGATCATAACAGATAGATCGCAGATCCTAGATCGTCAGATCTTTTCTCTTAAAAGTTAATAATACTTATCCAGCTTTGGGCTAAGCACTCACCATGAGACCCACTTTCATGTCTCGCACTTGCATCTTGAGCTTCTCGAGAACATCGCTGTGCTGGAGATTTGGAATGCTGTGTAGGCCGCCGATGCCCATGAAGCTGCCCAGCGCGTTAAGCGGATGATTCGGCGGCAGTTGATGATGATGGCTGGAACAACAACAAGCATATAGATCAATAAACGTGTATCAGATGGGGCTGAGCTGGGATTAGGTGCTACCCACCTGAGTGGTAGATCTGTTTGCTGCTCGGGACTGGCAAAGTTGAGGCCAGCGCCGCCGGCGACTGTGTGACTGAGACGTGCGGCAATTGCCGCCTTGGCGCTCAGCTGATGATGTTCACCGTCGACGGAATCGCAGTCGCGCATCTCGTCATCCGTGCGATCGCCGTGGGACTGCAAAAGAACCGCCAGAGAACAGAGTATTAGTTAAACAGGCGTTGGCTGCACCAAATTGATGGCGGCGCTTATGTCAAAACATGCCGCATCGATTGCGATCAATGCATCTTCGAGCTGATCACATTGATCGCCTCGATAATGCGCCCGCTGCGCTGGCCAAATGTCCAACAGTTTGTCATGTGGCGGCGACTTTGCTGCTGCGTGGGCAGCGTTTAGCCTCAGCCGCAGCCCGTGCCAAAGGCACAACATTAACACATACAAAGAGAGTGAGAGAGAGCGAGAGAGAGAGGGGCTATTTCAATTGTATTGCCAGCGAGGCGACAACAAAGGTAACCACTTAATAAATTAACAATGGCAAGCCGGTAATGGCAATCAAGCAGAGAGCCACAACCACAGCCAGCCCAGGGCCAGCCCAAGCCCAAGCCCAAGCCGAAGCCCAAGCCAACAGTCCAGGCTATTAAGAGCGAGTGGAGCTGGTGGGTCGTTGCAAGAGTTACATCCATGGCGTATCCGTGGCCACAACCGTTTCAAGCGTACTATTGCCAGCCGTGACTCTGGCAAGAAGTCGGCCACGCTTGGCCGGCTGGCTGCCTGTCCGCGGTCCGCGGTCCGGTCTTTGCTTTTTATGCATTTGGAGAGGTGCAAATTAAGCGCATCTGTGACTGTGTGCAAATCGGGAATTTTCAATTTAAACACATCCAAGCGGCAGCCAACCGACAGCAGCACACACAACACACACAACACACACCACACACACAAAGTAACCTGTGCTGCACAATGTAAGCCAAGCCATGCCCAGGTTAGGCCGGGCATCATCATCATCATCATGATCATGATCACGATGCTCATCATCGGCCTCATCGGAGCACAGTTCGCATCTGAGTGTGCAACTTTTTTCATGTGTGTATACAACATTTATCGCCGGTATCGTTGTCGTTGTCGCTGTTGTCGCTGTTGTTGTCGCATTGCTGTAATCATAAATGCAACCAAAACCAAAGCACACATAGACAACCTCTGAGCTGAAAGGGGCAACAGGGGCTATGGACTCTGGTATTCGCAGCAGAGAGCTGTTGCGGTTCCAAGAATTCTTTGAAGTTCGCGCAAAATGCAAACGCCTTTAATAGTACGAATACGAGTACACTGGCAAAAATATAATAGCATCATGTTAACATTATGTTAACTAGTTAACATGATTAACAATGCTGGTGCTTTAAGAAATTATTAAGAATCGATCCGCATAGAATTTAATCTCTGTACACAATATGTGTGGGATGTGGCCAAATGCTTCTCATATATTAATTTAATTTTTATATTTTCTGACTTATCTTTTTGCACTTATTGTCTTTTTACATTAACTTCATTTATTTACTAAAATGCATTAAATTAATTTTACATAGAAATTATAAGTTTTCAAAATTTTGGCAGCTTGCCACAATAGATTTCCTATAATTCTAGCTACCCAGTCCTAGTTTAATTGCATTTCTTTCAGTGTAAAACCGAATGTGAGTGTGGCAAAAATGTGGCCAACACCATTTGGTTAGCTCAAGTGATATGCGGCAACTCCTATTCCGACCAGGCTCAAACGAGAACTCGAACGCGAACGCGCATAATGAAATGGTAACGTCTTGCTCTTGCCTCTGTTTGGTGGCAACAGCCTCCGCCTTCGCCTCCGCCTTCGCCATCGCCATCGCCTCCATCTCCGTCCCCATCTTCGTCTCCGTGAGCAGCTCCATCTTCTTTGTGGGCACATATTGGCGCATTGATCGCTGCTCGCATTGGACGATGTTGGTTTCAGTTGGTTGGTTAGTTAGTTGCCAATTCGCGGTTACCACATGGAAGCAGCCATATTTGCATATATAAAGTACATACAGCCAAGCATGTGTGTGTGTGTGTGTGTGTGTGTGTATGTGTGTACATCAAATTAATGTAAGTTATCGAATCCATGCGAAATATGTGCACTCAGAGGCCGATGGACGCTTCGCTGGCAACATTTTAGTTGCGGTTGGTTTTTTATTTTCTGCTGAAGTTGTTGTTCTTGTTGTTGTTTTTGTTGTTGCTGTTTCTGTTGACCAGGCCCAAACAATAATTGTGGTATTGAAGCAGCCAGCTACGGCCTGGGCCTGGGCCTGGGTCTGGGCCTGGGCTGTGCCCGCTGCCAAAGGCGTGCAGTTTACGCCGTGTTGCACCTATAAAATGTCTAATTAATGCACAACGAATTTGCGCCGCAGTTGCGTGTTGCACAAAAATAAAAAATAAACCAACTAAAAAATGCAACTTTTGATGCAGTTCATTAGCCGATCGATAACCAAGCGTTTGTTTTTGGTGTACTTTACGAATTTTCATTTGATTTTTTGCTTTGCAATAAACAAGTGAACTTTTAGCTGCCAGCTAAATTTATATAATTCAAATTTGTACTTCGAGTTGCGTTCAATTGAAGTTACAGTTAATTGTAAATTAAGTGAGCTGCCAAAATATATAAAACTTTAAGTTCACGTGCAATATGAGATATTGATAATATGAGATGATATAAGATAAGATGATATTGATAAAAAATAAGATATTTGAGCAGTCAGTCTCATAAAACAACTCAATCTAAACCTTAAGAGATATTTTACACAAATTTAAATTATATTCATTTCATTTTTATATATTAATATGTGAATACAAATTAATTTTAAGAACTTTCTTTATTTATTTCAGGTATATTAAATAAGGAATTATTTAATAAGGAATCTTCTGGAAATATCTAAATCTTTAAAGGTATTTGAATAAAATTTTAATTATATTTATTTAATTTATATACATTTTGCACTAATTGATTCTAAGAACTGTCTTTATTAATTTTAAGTATAATGCGAGAACATTTGTTAGGGAATATTCCAACAATATCTAAATCTAAAGGTATTTTAAATCAATTTTAATTATATTGATTTAAGTTTTTTAAGTATATTTCGAGCAAATTGAATAGGGAATTTTCTTACTCTTACGAAAGTCCCATATGGAACCCTAAGGGGCGCCCATATTCCTCTGCATTTGGCATATCGCTGAGTGGAGGTCTTTTATGTGACCCAATATCTGAATGCAATTATGTACAGCTGTCGCATAAATAATTATGTACGATAAGCTGTACTAGTTTTAGGCAAAAGCATTAGCTAAGGCAAAAACGCAGCCGCTAATGATGGCCAGGTATCTTGTTGCTCAAAAAAAAAGAAAAAGTAAAATAAAAAACTGTGTCGCCAGCCCATATATATATATATATATATATATATAATAGTTGTATACAAATAGGCAGAGATAGTACTGAGGCGCACAGCTACACGGCAGTTCCATTAATTTGGACTTTGCCGGGGCAATGATAAACGCCGGAGCGTGTTATCGGTTTAACTTTTACCGCAGCACTTTCATAGGAAAGCCGAAAAGACATTAAATCGCAATTAGACCTGACGCAGAAGTTGCGCCAAAGCCTCCGGGTGCACCCACAATGCAATACTCGAGATACTAGATACTATGTGTACATGTGTAGAGCTCGCATTGTGTGTAGCTACGCGATACGATACTCGTGGGCAGGTATGACTGGCCCGTGTCCCCCCTGTCGCCGTGTCCCCCCGCCCCCCCGTATCCCCGTATTGATTGCAATTTACTTTAATAGCTTTCGATGCACCGCAAAAGACGACGACATTTGTGACAAGATGGGGGCACAAAGGGGCGCATGGGGCGAATGTGGCGACTATCTAACTGCAAATTGCATTTGTATTCGGTCGAAGAATATTCAATTTATTTGCCGCTGACAGTTTTTATCACTAATTAGTTTACATTATTTTCGATAGAAGCGCTGAAAATAATTTATCTTAATTTATTATCATTGCATTTGACCACAAATGCAATTTAGTTAATTTCGCTTGTCTGTTATTGTTGTTGTTCCTGTTGTTGCTTTTGCCTCGACAAGTTGATATGAACGACAATTGCTATTGTTGCATTGACAAATTGTCGGAAGCACTTCGGGTCAGGAGAGCTGCTGCCGCTGCCGTCGGCACTCAGCGATCCGCTCATCATCGGCGAAACGGGATATCGCACAGAGGGCATGTCGGACGGTGCGGACGGAGCGGACAGGGCTGCGCCGCATGTGCAACATGCCGTGCTAATTTAAAACAAAAGGACGAGCCGCTGCGGCCACTGGAAATCCATAATGTGACAAAGCGGCGAGCGGCGCGGGGCAAGCTGTGAAGGGCGCAGCATGCAAACAGGATCAACTAACTACCAGAGCGGACGCCCAGCCCAGCCACAGCCACACAGGCGGGTAGGCAAGCGTTTTATTGTGTGAAGGATTAAGATTATATAGCAGGCATATGCTCGCCGTCTCTCCCCTCTCCCTCTCTCCCTCACTCTCCCATTGGGTAGCTGTGTGTGCGTGTTTTTTTAGACCGAATTGTAAACTAGAAGTCCTAATGTTCTTATGATTCAAGTGCTCTTTGGGCGTGCTGGCGTCTTAAGTTTATTAACGTCCTATTTTCATAGCACGATTTTTAGAATTATCTACTTTGAATTATTCCTGCAATATTCCTGGAACTCATAAATACCATGACAGTAGCTATAGAAATTTCGATTGGTTAGAAGAGAGGAAAAGCCAGGCTTTTTTTTTGTTTAGTAAGGACTTTCGAAATGAAATGTTTATGATTTATTTTAAATATTGCAAAAATTGGCCATATTTCATTTTTCATCTGAATTTGAATGATTAATAATTTTATAGCAGCTTAAGTCGATGTTGCACACAATCTTTGAATTGTATAGAAACAAAGCAAAAGAAGATGAGATGAAGTAAATATTTCTCTAAACTATAATATGATTAATCTTCACAGTCAGAATATTATCTAATAAAGTCAGAATCTATTTAAATTGATCTGAGTCACATTTAATTAAGTCTGAGGCTATTCGAATTAGTTTAAATTAATATATTAACGACTGTTAATTAACAAAGTATCTCAGAAGATATTTTAAAA